ACATATTGATGTGATACACTTTATTTCCTTCCTGATTCCCTTCAAAACTAACCACATAGTTTGTTTCTGATAATCTTTTCTCTATTTTTCCCCGGCCCTTTCCATTGAGGAGCGAGTTTATGGGGTTGATTCACTGCTAATACTAATACGGAATCTCCTGGCTGGAATTCCCTTTTCACGGCATTTTTGTCATACCATTTCTTCCTTTTGTCTCTCACCTCTTCCATTTTCTCTGTAGCTAATTCTCTACTTTTCTTTAACCTATTGATTAATTCGAAAACATATTCTATTACGGTATCTTCTTTTTCCTGAGGATCTAACCATTTCTCATACAATAATGCGACAGGTGTTCTGAGGTTGGTCCCGTACACTAATTCAGCTGGACTAAATCCTGTACTATCATGCGTTACTGTCCGCAGAGCAAAGAGAGCGGCAGGTACTTGTACTTTTCCCAATTTGGGGCAGCTTCAATACATAATACCTTTAAGACCCTTTTTATTGACCTATGGAAACCGTTCCACAGGATTGCTCTGGGGGTGGTAAACCGAACTTCTGGAAATTTTTATACCAAACCTCTTCAAAAATTCAACGGTTAAGCGACTCATAAAAAGATTTCCCTTGATCAGTTTGAACCTCCCTTGGAAAGCCCATCCGACTAAATACCTGCAAGAGTGCACTTACAACAGATTTCGACGTTATATCCGGTACCGGGACGGCGTCAGGATATTTAGATGCTAAGCACATAACTGTAATAAGATATTTATTACCTTCAGTAGATGTAGGCATAGGCCCGCAAGCATCTACATTAACCTTACTAAAGACTTCAGATATCACAGGTACTATTACCAACGGTGCTTTCTTTTTGTCACTTGCTTTTCCTACACGTTGACAGGAGTCGCATGTTTTAACGAATTCCTCAATGTCTTTATAACAATTTGGCCAGAAAAAATGTCTTAGTAACCGGTCTTTTGTTTTCAGAACTCCTAAGTGACCTGAAGTTCCTTCATGACAAATTGCTTTAATTTGCTCTCTGAGGTTTTCTGGAACAACAATTAAATGTTCTTCTCCTCCTAACTTATTTACCTTCTTTTTTACTAAAACCCCATTTTTAATCCCATAATTGTTTTACTTCCGCTTTTTACTAGTTCTAATAAAGGCGCAAGTTCTTTACTTTTTTGTTGTTCATCAATAAAAGTACTTGAGTCTATTTGAATCGCAGGACTTGTGGGGACACAAAGGTTGACGGGGGGTAATATCTTTCTGTTTTCAGACCTCTCATGAGCATCGTCCTCCTCTTCCAATTCTAACTCATTCTGCTCAGAATTTTGATTCGTCTCACATAAATTTTCCGCTTCCTTTAATTGTCGTGCTTGAGATCGAGTAACGACCGCATTAACATTACCGACATACGACGAATAATTTTTCTCAGTTCCTCTGAGAAGAGCCGCTGTCTGGTTGCCTAATATATATCGTCCTTGGTCTAAGTGGTCTCCTATAACAGCTGCTTTGGTGGTTACTGTACCCAAATCGCATTCAATATCTACTTCAGCAACAGGTAAACAAGTCATATGATCATCCAGCAAATGTCGAACCCACACATGTGTTCTCCCTTCATTCTATCTCTGTCTACATATTTCTGACAAATAATATCTACCGTTGCTCCTGTATCTCTTAGAATAGGTACTTCAAAACCATTTACTCTTCCATTTAATGTATAGGGATCTAACAGATTCTTCTCTGATCTCCGCTTATCCGATACAAATCTGCTTTTTGAGTTTTTAAAATTAGGGGCACTGAGGACGTCGTAAATGGTCAAAAGATCCACATTCATAGCACTGGAGTCTTTTCTCCTATCAAAATTCGAGTCCGACTTTTTCCCAACATTGCGTGCATCATCATCTTTTTTAAATTGTGTGCCATGAGGGTTTTTTTCTATTTTTGAAAACGTTACCAGTGGACTGAAAAACACCCATTTGTCTACCTGATATTTTCGTTTTAATTTCACCCAATTTCGTTTTCCCAACCATCGTCTTTTTCGCATCTTCAAATTCCTCTATTTTACCCACCAACAGTTTTGGTGAAGTGATCGTGGCCCATTCATCTATAAAATGTTCCTTAAACTCATTAGGCGTGCGCCTTTTAATCTGATCTACCAACATTAAATCCTTGAGTTGCTCAAATGTTTCGATTTTTAATCCCTTGAGCCACCCATCTAAAAATGTCTTAATTTCGTGATAAAAATCGTACCACGTAGAATCCGGATTTTTCTGAGTCTTAACAAGAAGTTGCCGAAACTTCTCCGCACTTAATTTAAATCTTTTAAGTAGTAATTCTTTAATATGTTGGTAATCTCTAGCCTGTTCTTCAGGTTCCCTAGCAATTATATTATTTACCTCAACCGGAAGGACACCAATGAGATATGACACCCATTGATCCGTGGGGCAATTTTAGAACTTTAGCTTGCCTCTCAAAAAGTTCTAAGAATAAACTGATATCATCAGTTTTTAAATTAAACTTGGGCATAAGTTTCTGAAAATTCTGATTAAATACCGTTTCACCTCCAGGTTTAGCAGATTCAGTGTTCTGTTTTGCTTTAAGGCATTCTAGTTCTAACTGTTGCTTTTCAATTTCTTTATTTTGTTGTAGTATCTGAAATTCCCTCTCCCTAGCTTCCTGTTCTAACTGTAATTCTTTCGCTCTTGTTTGCTTCTCTAAGTTTTCCTTTTCTATCCTATCAGTCATAATACTTTCTAACAAATTTTTAACAAATTCTTCCTCATAATTTTTACTATTCGTTATTAATTGTTTTAAATCTATCACTTTCATATCTTCTAAAGCTATTTCCCCAAGTTCTGAAGCGACAAGGAATAGATCCCTTTTCTTAGCTTTCCCCAAAATGCCATTTTCACAAAAGTAATTGTTCAAAAACAAAAACTCAAATAGTTATTCACAAATAATACACATAAAAAATATATCAGAGATATAAAAAACACTAACTTTCTTCTTTCTTACAAAATTAGGCAAATAAAATAAAAGGTTAATAAAAGCATTAATCACTGTGGATTTATTTCCATTCAAACATAAAACGAATAAACACCTTACTGAATACTTCGTATAAAAAATTAATAACAAATTCTTTTCATTTAGTACAGCCAGACAGAAAAAAACCAGAGTGGCGCCAATAAATATAAACACCTTTAATTAACTATCGTTTTCATGACAGCTACTTCCGCTTGGCAACCACATGGCCAACGCAATTACTACGTAAATTCGATAGGCGCAGGTTTAAATCAGAACACTATTAGAACATTTCTTTACTGCTCAAAGCTTTAATTTTTAACCATGAAATGATAAAAAATTTAACATTCTACTTATCAGAAAAAACACATCATATTAAAATACAGCACTGGTGTGCTTTCATGAGAAAACCAAAGTAACAAGTTTTTAATATATTCAACAACTTATTTCTTTCACAAGAATTTAACATAAATTTTCTTCTAATGACTTAGAAATGAAAATTGCAATATTGCACTGATGTGCTTTCACATATACACAAAATAAACAGTTCAGATTCTATCACACCAATTGATAGCGAAACGTTAAATATAAATACACTGATGTGCTGTTTATTTACGGGAATGGATTTTTCCCATATCATACAAAAAGAAAAATATCTCGTTAGATATATAAATGCAACACTTTGATTGTTTTAAAAACTCTTATGCACTGACGTGCTATAAAATGCACTGATGTGCTACGTGTTAATGGGAAAATGTTTTCCCGAATATACCACAAAAGGAAAATATCTTGTTAGATATATAAAACAAACACATTGAGTGTTTAAAACTCTTATGCACTGATGTGCTACTTCTGCTTTGGGAATTGATTTCCCGAATAAGTAATAAATAACTACATTATACTCTTCAGGCCTGGAAATGAATATTGTGGAGAACACATACCTGGTCTCTTGTCACACAAATCTCGGTTGGAACCTCCAATTTTTATTTTCTTTTCGTCTGTGACGTCGTGGATGCTTCAGTGAAAACGGAATCAACACTGGTATTGGTGATGCATCACTTTAATTACAGCACATACCACAGATACAACATTTAATTAATACATTTAGAAAACTTGAGTACATATCCGAGTTGGTGACACGATCAGAGACGTTAAAGATGATGAACTCGTCATCACTGGACAAATTTAGTCTCCACACCTCAGCTTGCTGGCGGAGCTTCCCAGCACTCTTCTCTCACAGGCGTCTCACCGAAATCTCATCTCTTTACGCATGCGTAATTCTCAGTTAAGTCATTGCCATTCACAGTTCTTTAAATAAGGTGTTAAAATGAATTATAGTACTCGTAGTGTGAGGAGTTTGCTAACGACGTTCTCTCTAGTCAAGAGCATCATAGGTCTTTCTAGTACAGAGTTCAGGAGCGTTCTTTACACTGCTTTTAGAATTTTTTGATACAACACAAATTTTAATTGGTTTATTCACTTTATCAACATAAAGTTTTAAAGTTGTTCCCAGGGCTGATATTCTATAGTTTATTATTTTTAATATAATATATCGAAACCATATTTTTATATTACAAAATATGCATTTATTTTTAAAAATTTAAACAAAGAAAATAATTGGCGGAGTGTAATTTCTGCCTCTCTCCTTCAGTGTTACTTCCCTCCCTCATTTCTGTTAAGCTGAGTTTCTTTCGGATGATATTTTACTGTATACATGGTCTATGGCAAATACGGTCAGATTTAGTTGCGAAGAATTTTTATTAAATACAATCTCATCCCAGTTATCGAAATCAGCAACTTCAAAGTTTCTGCGGAACACGTTTTGGGAAAGGCAGCTGTAATATACTTATATTTATGTTTTACAACTTTACAAAAAAAATTGTAATTTGGCAACGTATATAAATGGACTTAAATATATTAAGTATACAGTCAAAATTTTAGCAAAAAGCTTTAAAAAACTCTGTAATAACAAATACTTTTAGGTGATCTGATGGCTCAAGCGCTGAATGGACTAAAAAGTTTGGTTAAATTACCCGTTGGCTGTGGAGAGCAGAATATGGTCCTTTTTGCACCAAACATCTTTGTTTTGGATTACTTAAGCGCCACTGGTAAAATCACAGAAGACCTAAAAGAAGATTGTTTGAATAATATGAGGAAAGGTAAGTAATTTCGTTCATTTCTATACTTGAAATTGAATTTTTCCTGTCATTTTATTGGTAATTACTACACTAATACTCTCGGAGATGAGAGGTCTAGAAATTTCAAGATTTTCTTCTCGGATACAAGTGCTTATTGACGAATGCTCACCAGTCATATTGCTTTTACGAAACATAATTAGTATTGTTTTCGGTTAACGAAAATTATGAAAATTATCTGAAGATATTTTCGCTTCCGAGAAAAGAGATACACTACGCAAATAATATATCTCTACATAGAGTACACTAGGTAAGTCAGTTTTACAGCATCTTCTTACTGACTATGAACATTTGATAGTAGAAATAAAAAGTCTTACCGATCAAACATTCTGGATTATACTTCAAATAATTTACATGAGTTAAATTCAGCTGCCGGCAACGGAGCAAATAGGCATAGAAATTGCTTGTTGCAAATAACAGTGAGATGTTGTTTAAAACTATCTGACTCTATCAATTAATGTTATTTGCTACTATGATTTACTGAGATGATTATAATAGGTAATCTTTGTTCCTTTCTCTCTTTCAAACCGCAGCATTCTATCCCAAGGTCAGTAGATAGGTAAGGTTTATGCTCATTCAAGGTCAAGGCTTTTCTTTCTGACGCTTGAGATTATAGACGTATTGAGACGTATCTTGAGACTTACCTGTCTGCTCAGACTTATGAGTCAAGGACGTCGAATTTACTAGGCTGTTTGACCTTGATTGAGTAGCGTACACCCTGAAGTATTGTAACTTTGCTTTATCCATGTTTCCCAAATCTTTCGCTATTTTTCTTCAACACCATTGTCTTTGTTACATTTTGTAGCATTCTTGTGTGTTTTTCGTCTTTAGTATACTCAAAAGTAAAATTATAATCTCTATATTTATGTATTTATGTGAATAGAGAGTTTTTGCTATTATTCTTTCTTACAGATCATATTAAGTTTCAAAAGTTCTTGAATAGTATATCGTAGCTTTTTTTTATTAAAAAAAAGAAAAAGGTCTGAGACTGATGAAGAAAGTGTTCTCCGTATAACTCAGTCCTAACTGCTTCTTTGCCTTACAGACTTACATAGTATTTAGACTCCTAAAAATTACTTAACAATTCTGTACTTTCAATTACTTTCGCTTTGCGAAAGAAACTTTAGTTGTAAAAGAAGCTTATATCATTCGAAGGCATTTTACAAAAAAGATTTTCAGGTAACAGATGATTTCCGAATGTGCTTTTCTCTTACTTTGTGACTACTTACTTAAGATTTATTTTTTCCTAGGTTATCAAAGAGAACTACAGTACCGACGTAACGATGGTTCTTACAGTGCATTTGGGAAATCAGATAGACAAGGAAGCCTCTGGTTAACCGCTTTCGTTCTTAAATCTTTTGGTCAGGCAAGAAGATTTATGGACATAGATGAAAATGATCTGCTAATAAGTTCGCAGTGGATACTAAACCGACAGTTTGAAAACGGGTGTTTCGAGCCGTCAGGTAGAATCCTCCATAAAGACATGAAGGTAATATTTTCGTTATTCCTCGTAATTAGTGCTATTGGTATTACATAAAAAAATAACACTACTCAAAGAAGGTGGGATTTTCTACATCAGACAGTTGTATAGCATCTTTATGGCGATAACTTTTCCGTTTCTGTGAAGTGTTTTTTTTTCGGGGGGGGGGGTATTTAAACTAGAGATCATATTCTTTGAGAAATAATACATACGAAACAAAAAGAACTTACAAATGTTCAATTCTTTTGCATTATTCCTATTTTTATATTAATTCGTTTTTAGTCCAAAAGGGGGCTATGTCTCTGAGGAACTATTATTTTCGTTTTGCGATTTTGCGTCGAATCACTCTGAATATCCGTTTCACTTTTCAAACTGTTGCCACCAAATATTATCGCCCTGTATTATATTTGAAGAATTAAATAATGAAGAATTTGCGTAAATGTATGTATGTAAGATAAAAATATATGAATCAAAATTATAGATTAAACTATAAAACATTAATTCTTCTTCTCTATTCTAAAATCGTAATAACTTCTTTGCATTGCGTCATTTCTAGATCACTCTATGATCGGCGCAGCTCTGATGACGTAATCATTGGGAACTGAAACTGTCCTTGTAAACCAAAACTTTTCTCCTCGCGTGCCTCCATCCTGCATAACTACGCACTTCAGCTTTGCTCTTTACTCTGCTAAGATGTAATTTCGCTGGCTTGCTTTCTATCTTAACAATATATAAAAATGTAAATCTTGTGTGGAAAGGCACGACTAGAGTGCCAAGTGATTGTGGCCACAAATATCAATTGGAAATAAAAATGGAATTAAAACTGCCTCGACTGCCAAGTTCTTTAAATACTACGCAATCAAAGATCTCAATATGGATTTCCTTTCCTTTTATTATGACATCCTTTGCTTTTATTATGACATGTATGTTTCTCGCATTGTGATAATACAACGGTTTCTAGAGCCATCTAATTTTGAATGACGTAAATCCTACTGCGAATATGAACATCTGGAAGCCAACATTTGAAATTTGGAATTTGTCTTATTATCGATTTCATATTTTGTAAAACTCTGGCGAATTTTTGATTAAAAAATTCAAGGATTTCAAAGCGAGCAATGGCAACGTTGTATAGAAAAAACGTTTTTTATCTCCAGCGCGCGAGTCTCTGTATCGGAAATTTTAAAGATATGCTCAATTAAAACTATTTTGCCATATTGCTGTTGAACTGAGTTTTATGGTTTAAGTGCGAAGTACGTGATATTTAATAAATAAATGTAACATACAAAATTAAAAAAAAAAAAAGCCCCTTTGGACGTAATTTAAAATCTGAAACATTTCAGATTTTCTTTTTGTGATTACTTTTGTTATCTTTTTCAACCGCCCAGATGGAAAAATGGTTAGGTGACTCTGACCGTGGCCTTCGAGATAACAAGGCCTGGTTAGCTACGAGTGACGTCACGAAAGGCGTCCGATTCTTCCGTGACTTTCTTTGCTTTCAGATTTGAATGCTAGCGTTTCGTTCGATGTTTAGAGTGTTTTGTTTTTAATAATGCATAATAATTAAATTTCCAGAGACTTGAAAACGTAAATAAAGGTCGTATATTCATTTGCAGTTAAGATTAATAACTTAATAAATATTATTTTTTAAGAATATTCACGAAATTTTCTATGCCATGTTTTAGGTTATCTTGTGCATTTTTTTTTACAATGTATTGTAATAATTTGTTAGAATACACTCAAAAAGAAAGTACTGAAATAAGTAAATAAAAAGGCTGTTATTTATTAACATAAAAAAGTCTTTACAGTTTGAGAAGGAGAGGAATGAAAGGAATGAAAAGATTTAGAAATATAATAATTCACTAACAAAAGTAAATTAATTTAGCAAATTAAAAGACATAAAAAAAATTTTTTTAAACTATAAATATTTCAGAGCTTTCAAACATTATGCAAATGTATTTTAATTCATTTAAATTATTATCTAATAAAATGAACAGAAAAGCCACAGAAAAAATTTAAATCTCAAAACCTTTGTAAATTAAATAATTACAATTTTGCTGCAACATTACAGAAAACGAATAATTTTCACATATTTATATGTTATCTATAGGCAATAATTATAAGGATATTTACATCATTTAATAATATTTACATTATTAGTTATATGTAGATGCATAATAAATAATATATTACAAATAAAAGCCATCCATATAATGTTTCACAAAAAGCGTAAATCATAAATTTGCCAACGAAAACCTCAAAACAACTATACATAGAACAAACCATGATTTCTGTCTAATTAGGAAATACTGTGCAAGTTGTACTAGTATACTGAAGCAATAATTAATCGCAATTGATATTTATTTTGAAAAATTATGAAGTATTATCAAATAATAAGGAAACAGCAAAAGGATTAATAAATTTAAATGTAAAAGATACATATTGAAAATATATTTGAACTGCATCATATTTAGTACACTATTTTTAAAAAATAAAACAATGTCATTTACATACTCATATCTTTTCATCACGTATTCTTGATTTTTTTAAGTTTCCTTCATCGATTTTTGTATGCATATTATTTGAAGAACTTTAATATAAGTTTAAAGCAAATATTTGAAACGGTGCTCATTATTTTTTTTAATCTGCTAAAAAGGGAATTCCACACATTAAACAAGTTTCATGAACATCAACATGTTAATCTTTTGAACATATATCTCGGTAAGTTTGACCAGTAAAGAATGCTGTTCAACTTCTTTACTGGTTCATTATTTCACTGGAACAACTTTATCTCCTAGATAAACTGCTATTTTATATGAAGCGATACAAAGATACTTTTTCAATTTTAGGATATGGATGAAACTGAGCAATAAAATATAAATACCAGCAATAGATTTGTGTAAAATAAATATTTGAAGTATCTGAAATATTTAATTTATTTGGTAACATAGAAGAAAAATCCTCAAATGATGCTATTTTGTCCTTTCTCAAAAATTCATTAAAAATATGCTTCTCTCATCTTAGCTCTTTTTTCCTCCCTGCTCATCCTCCGAGGGGTTGGACTTTCAGATAAGTATTTTGGGAAACCAGAAAAATGCATGGGTAAGCAAATCGTTATTTAATTAGGATGCCCTCTACACATCTGAATAAAAGTACTTCGTTTGTTGGTAAATAATCATAGCGAATAATATCATCTTTTGGAAATGTTTTTCACATTGAATTCATCTCGATCACTTGAAATAAAATTTTTCCTTGGAATTTTTTTGATCCATAAATCCCGTTTTACTGTATCTTTTGGAAATTTGAATACTGATACATATTCAATAGTGCCATCGTAATTGGATTTGCATGCTGGAACGCAAATCGTGCAGGCATGATGAAGACAGCTCTACGTAGAACGTCGATCGTTATTCTTGTTAACAAATAAGTTAACTAGTAATCTCAATTTAAAAACGAAAATCCTTAACAACATTATTTAAATTTAGCAATAAAAAAGACACGAATAATAAAAATATACAGTACGCAATCAACGTAATAAGAAATCTTCGCTTGCAGTGCGAAGAGTGAAAGTTCAGACGCCTTACGTGACGTCAAATCACGTGATTCTGCAGCTGACCAGGCCATCTAATCTCGAAGGCCACGCTCTGACAGCCGTACGGAAGGGTCCATGCTCGAATCCCGAATAAGGCATGCATGTACTTTGCCCGCTGGTTTATAGGAGGCAACGGTAGCCCACCTATTAGGTCCCTCCATAATAAAGTGACCACCACTTCCGGCCTTACGACTTGGGTCCGCCAATGGGGGTCCGCCAAAGGGGGAAAAATATAATTTTTTTTCTATCGAACTTCACCGGTATTCAAGTTAGGCAAAGTTTAAATAAAGCGTGTATTTCGTTCGCTTACCTTTCAATTAGACGCTCTGTCGCTACGAATTAGCTTTCCTGAATTGCTACGAAAATTTGCTTAATGATTTCATAACTTATTAAGAGTTAATGTTTTGAAAGTAAGCTAAGTAAAAGTTTTTTAGATTATAAATTTGAGTGGGGGATAGATTTGGTTTTGTTTTGAATTATTACAAAGCGTGTGAGAGCTATCTGCTCGAGCGGAGAATTATTTTCGTACACTTTTTTATGAAAGAAAATTTAATTTTGCTTGTCATTTACTTTAATGTTTAGATTTTTTACTTTCCCCAAGTATCATTAGATAACGTTTATTAACTTCATTAAAGTCTATCAGTTAAAACAATAAATATTTTTAGACTAATGAACTTAATAAACTCTTATTCTTGTTTTTTGAGTAGTAATTTCCATTTTAGTATGGTTCAGAAGTAGTGTGACGATGAAAATTCATAGATTTTGTTAGTTAAGGTAACGTTACATTTTCAACAGAAATTTGGTTTCATGCAATCTGATGTGGGCTGTGATATATCATAAGATTCAGATTATATTGAGATTTATGCAACGAGAAAATGTTACGAAATTTTACTCTTAGATCATTGGAGTTATCATTCCGCTGTCACAAACTATGCCTAAAAAAAGATTCTGCTCGAATAATACTTGCGTTGTTACCTCTCATCTTTCCTAATAAGAGCTTCAAACAAATATATTTGCTAATTATTGCTGGTTCATCCAATTTTATTGCGCAGGCAGAACATGTTGCTACATTAGGGACTTCTACATGTTTGTCTCAAATAGAGCCGGTTTCTCTTAACACTTTCTTAATGTCTACATTCCTTCTTTTATGTTGAAAACTGTAACACGATTTCACATTTATTAATTTTATCAAATCTGTTGTCTTAAAAAATTAAAATTCTGTGAGGATCATAAATATTTAAAAAACAATCAATAAAACATTTTACTAGAGGAAACAGAATCCTTGTAAACAAATATGCCATGATTTGTTTATTCATTTCTTTCTAATTATGCTATTAATTTTTTTACTAAAAGAGGTTATGATGCTTAGTAATTTGTTTCGATTTGATATGAGAGTATAAACGCATTTTTCTCTCATGTACAATCAGTATAAACTTTATGCTTGAATTTTATTAATTAATTGGTATTTAATTTGTTTAGGGTGGCCTTAATCAAGGAGAACAATCCCTTGCTCCTCTGACAGCGTACATCCTGATAAGCTTATTAGAATCTGGAGCAGAAAGCCTGAATCATACAGCTGCAAAAAATGCTCTAAAATGCTTAGCAGCGGATGGAATTCCCAACAATTATGCATTAGCTCTCTATGCTTATGCTACTGCTCTTTCTAGAGAAATAGATACTGCCAAACAACATTTAAAACTGTTGGATGAAAGAGCTGTTATTAAAGGTAAGTTAAGAAACATATACGCTTTGAGCATTACAATTTTCATATCGAAGCTAGTTTTCAAATTTAGAAGAGCCGCCCTCTATACGTGTTGAATGGGAGCATATTAAGAAGGTAAACGCCACGTATGCATTTGGAAAGAAGACTTTGTTAGAAGATGGGCACCTCATACACATTTTCATGTAAAACCGTTTGTTTTTCAATAATAATGGTATTCTTTATTATTTTATATATAATATATATTAATATATTATATATAAAATAAATAAATCTCGGATATAATAAATCTTTCCCCTTCCACCAATGCTAGAAGATCATGCCCCTCTCCCTTTCAATGCTTGAAAAATACATATAGTTAAATTTAGATTCTTTTTTAATTTGTTTCATAAATTAAGCAAGAAAAAGTATAGAAAATGTCGGTAATTAACAAAATTTAAATAAAAGTAGATTCATCTGTTTATAAAATAAAACTAAATATTTAACAGGCAAATAAAAGGCTTACCATATCCATCCCTTGAAACTATGAAATTCAACCCCTGAGGGAATTCTCCCCTGATTGAGAACTCCTGCTTTAATGTAAATAAAATTTCTTCTCCATTGTACTATAGTCTACCCGTCTAGGGCAGACATTTTTTCCCTTTATATTAGTTTTATTTATTTTTATTCTTTTTATTTCATGTAACTTTATTTTGCTACTGTTTGAGATAATATTATTACATGCGTATGAGTTTGTAATGGGTTGAATGCACACAGAACCGATGAAAGCTTAGTGAAATTTACTTTGCCCCCCCCCAAAAAAAAAACAATTTGGCAAGATAGTCATTTACCTCAATGTTAAATAGACTTAATAGATAAAAGAAGGGATATACCCCAAATTTTCCGCGGAACCGTCACATTATTTCTAATTCCTTTCATGTTACATTATGCGAGAGCTACTAGAAATTTACATATAAGTTCAGTATAATTATTAAAGTATAACCAAAATTTGTAACATTGTCCCCTTCCTAAAAACTGCACGTCCCGGGCAATACAATGGCTGAATAGGAAGGCATATTCACAGCTGAGGAAAATCAATAACTGTATGTTAAAAGCAGTACTAAAATAATTATTTCAATAATTAGCATACAACTAATAAAATACTAAATCAATAAATAAGTGCCTGAATTAAAAATTTATGTACATGTAAGGACTACGGTCTTAGTATATACAATGGTCTTTTTATATACACTATGGAGTCTACATGCTGCGGTAAGGCCTACTGTCGGTAGACTGCGTGGTATGCTGTCGTAATGAACGACTTTAGATTTAGAATTTAATGATATATGTATTCGAACTATAACGTCGTTCAACCTGTTTAGGACTGTGTAAGGATCGTCCCAGGGTCACTATAGTTTAAGACAAGGATAGAAATTTAATTTGACGGTCCGAGGCAAATTAAAATAAATATATATTTGTATATTATATAGCTATCTCCTTTTCTACATTGTTTAAATATTATTTTTTCTTCCTTTCTTTCAAAGGCCTGATGATCTTTTTACTTTCTCCATTTTTGTTCTACAAAACATAAACCGACGGAAATAGCAAGCACAGATAACTGTCAATCGGTAAAGTGTTAAAAGCGAAAGTTCTTTGTTAGCTGTAGATTGGCATCAACAAACGTTATTTCTTTCTCGGGGAGCAGACATATTGGAATCCAATATAGGTGAATTAGACCTCACATATGGTAGACTGCGCATTTTAAGATCCAGCCAGCGGCTTTTTTTGGCGTGAGTTCTAATATTATTGATTGCGTATGGAAAGATTGCGGACATATAATTGTGGTAAAATTATCAAAAGTATAGCGTAGCTAGTGCTTGTTTGGGGTTATTCCTAAAATATTTCAACCCCAAATTGGGTACTAAAAACGTAAAATTGATTCAGAGTGCCGTGCTTTTAATGATAAATGGACCTGGAAATATTTTTTAAAAGATGAATCAATGTGTTTCATCTGCAATGAAGCTGAAACAGTCTTCAAAGAATGTAACATTTCCCATCTAATCATAAGAATTCCAATTACGAAGCAATGTCGAACATGAAAGAAAACAAAATGCAGAAAGTCATTGTAAAAAATTACCAGGTCGACAAAATTTTTTCAAGAAGGTAAACAATATCCAAGACGCAGCTACACATGCAAGTTACATTGTAGCGTACACTATTGCTAAAAATAATAAAGCTCTCAATGATGGGGAGTTCGTTTAAACAATGCATGCTCCAAGTTTGTGATATTTTATGTCCGGACAAGAAAAATAATTTTGAAACTGTAAGCTTATCTTAAAAAACGGTGACTTCTAGAATCGAAGACATCGGTAAAAATTTGTCATCACAACTCAAAGATTGGCCAGTGTAAATTCTACTCCATAGCTATAGATAAAAGCACTGATATAAATAAAACTGCTCAATTAGTATTATTTATAAAAGGTGTTGATGACAACTTTGAAATTACCGAGAAAGGGGCGTGCATGCGTTCTTTAAAAGGAATTAGAACGGGATGTGATATTTTTCATGAATTTCAGGAAGAGCTTTTTATTTTGAAAGTGCTTATAACGAATATGTGCAATATTACGACTGATAGAACACCAAATATCACAGGGAAAAAAATCTGGATTTCTTGGAAGTTTTAATTAAAACTATTCCTAAAACTAATGTTGTTTTCCTACATTGTGTTTTACATCAAGATGCTCTGTGTAAATCTGCATTCAATACGAAACTCGTGTTTGATGCAGCCGTGAAGCTTGTAAATACTATTCGATCTCGTGGGCTTACTCACAGGCAATTTCGAGATTTTCTTCAATCCGTGTAATCTTAATACTCTGATATACTGTATTACACGAAAGTAAGGTGGCTTGGTGCAGGATGTGTTTCCAAGCCAGTTTGGCAGCTGAAAGACGACTGTCGTTTTTCCATGAGAAACGGTGTTCTGCGTATCTTGTATTTTTCACAGATCTTCTTTGTCATATGAACAATTTGAATGTCAAGATGTAAGGGAAAAATCAATTTATCGACGATATCTAGGGCCATCTCAAAGATTTTAAACTAAAATTTAATCTGTTTGCTGGGCAGGTAGCTAAGAACGACTTGTCTCATTTTTCGAGGTTAAATTTAATACCCTCAGTAAATGAACAGAAGCTTATGAATTATGAAGATGGCTTGAAAAAAAACTGTGTTTTGAGTTCGAACGCTGATTTCAATATTTCAGTGCCATTCAAACAGAATTGGATACTTTTACTATGCCTTTCAACGTAAACTGTGAAGCAATGAGGTCATATTTGCAGCTTAAATTAATTTATTTGTAATCTAATTATCATCTCAAGAAGTTGTTTCTAAAAATGCCAAATTTAGAGTTTTACAAATCATTATCGAAAGCAAGTTTCTCAAATTTAATATCTCACGCTCAGAAAATCAGTGCTAAAGTGTTTTCAACTATGAACCTTAGAACGAATTTAGAAGTAGACTGACAAATGAGCATTTAGCCTCTGAATTCCTTGGAATCGATACATCTCACTTTGAACCTCAATATAAGGATCTTTTAAAAATGAAATCGCAATTTCATTCATCTCATTAACATATTTAAATTGTAATCCATGTATATTGTTTCTAAAATTTTAGAAAAAATTATCTTGACCCGCCAAAGTTTTTCTTTTCGATTTTTTGCCCGCGACCGAAAAGGTTTGCCCATCTCTGGTTAGGAGAAAGTCCTCCTCGTCGAATCGGATTCCATTAACCACACCTTGTCACCAAGATGAATCGATGTTCTTTATCTTTTTGGTTGTATCGGATCTTCATCTTCTCCGTCACAAAGCTGCCTCGCTCTCGTGTAAAATTGTGCATCACTTCAAACTGTGCCTGGAGAAATTGTGTGTATTCCTCAGGAATTAAACGTGCATCCAAGGGCGACCAATCAACATATCACAAGGCAGATGAATGTCGCGAGGGAACAGCACCTGGATAGAGAACAGCGGATACTCTCGTGGACAGCACTACGATGGTCCAGTAAGAAAAAAGGTAATTTCTGGTCCGAGTCCTGTTAGTTTCTGGAAACCATCAGCCAAGAGTTATTAAGGGTTAAACTGCTCTATTATGCCGTATTTCTGTGGATGTAAAGGTGTCCTTTGAGTTTTGCTTGAATGGCTTACATACTTCTTTAATTACAGTCGAAATATAATTCCTTTCTGATTTCTGAATGTAACTCATTCTGATCAAGCGCTCCAAACCTCTCCATTCCGTAAAGCACTCCAAACCCTAGAAATCTGCTGTATCATTTACCTTTGCTACCGTGACAGCCTCTTGATCAGAGATAGAGTACGCTTTAGGCCACTTGTAAAGTAACCAGTAACAGCGAGGGAGTACTTGTTACCATTAGCAGATAGTAGGTGAGCTTCCAGGATATCGAACGCGATGGGTTCAAAAGGCTGTTACATTTTAACGTTACAATGTAGTTACACTGGCTGCGGTTTTTTCGGTCTTTTCTGAATATCACAGGAAATGAAAGACTTTAAGGACGTCCGAGATCTTGGAAATAGCAGCTGCCGCCGGAATGCCTTTCTATTATCCGATTCAAATTTCCAGCATAAGACACGATTTCGAACAAGTTATTGTAGGATTCCCCACTGTGTAATTCCAAGTTACTGTTGGAAGTGAAGAATAAGAAATGATCAGCGAATAATCGCTTGAGCTCGTGTGACAGGAAACAACAAGATAGAAGGGTAAAAGATTCCTTTATTATTCCAATTAAAGTTTAACAAAACTCCGTCTTGGAGTTGTACAATAAAGCCGACACTTGGCCTGAACTTAAGAAACTAAGAATTAAATTAAACTAATTTAACTAAAGATATATAGCCGAAGCTATCACGACCGAGCGTAATAATAGCCTAAAAAGGTGGAGGGTGCAGCCAGAATATCTGGTATCTCTCTCACTAAGACTGTAAAACTTCGCGGTTATATACCGCTCTTCCTCATTAGCATTCAGAAGTGCTTCTAAAACTACGTTCTGGCCAGAAGTGGTAAGTTGAAGTAAGAATCGATAGGAAAGGAAGTTTAACTCAAAATTTAACTGTTAATAAAATTAACATAATCCTTACAGAGTGAGTCCCAGACAGCGCAATATTGCTTTGTCATAGTATTATAGATCGAAATGCTCTGCAAGTTTTCTGTTTGAAGACTCCATTAAGTCATCATAAATTTAATGTCACCGTCTTCCAACTGGTTTTTATGACTATTTTATCACTCAGACAATGGTAAGTCGTAACTTGACGTGCAAAGGGGTTAACTAGATCATATTTGAGCCTGGAACAATAGCGACAGCTTTCTGGGCAGGATCTTCTAGTCGTATAGTTCTAGCATAGGCGTTTTCCTTGTGACGATCTTTTCCGATGAGCGATAGTGATGTTATATTTCTGGAGTCTCTGTATCCATCTAGGCATTCGGCCTTAATGTTTTAAACTTAGCGTTTTAGATTTGGATGAATTATTTGTAATACTCCTTTATTTTATAATAATTTTTAGTTTTTCCTTAACTTTAAAGAATATTGTTAAATTTTATTTTAATATGTTTCGCGAATGTTTGTCAAATTAATGGTGAAACGAAAAAGAAGTATGCTGTTAATCTTCATAATACTTGCATTTATAAAACTGAATATAAAACACGAAGATAAAGAGGATGCTTGGAACAATCAATTGTTATGCAATTCCTGACATAATAAATGCTTTTTAAGCTATTCAGTTAATGAACATGTTTAAAGAATAAGGTTCGTAGTCTTCGAAATTAATAGATATTATTTCTCCCTTTCATTGTTACGTATATTTTAACATAATTGAGTTTAGAGCTTTAAAAACAACCCTTTAAATACTGCCCTGATTATAATCGAAAATGAAAATTTAACGAACCATAAGAAGCCATAAGTAAGGTACAAGTGGACCATTAATTATCTAATGACTAAGATCAACAGTAATCAACAGTAATCAATTATTATTACCGTAAAATTGTAACATTTTGTGTAACAATTTTAATGTTTTATGTAGCAAATTATGCAATTCCTGGGTAACAATCTTTTCTTCAGGTTATTAGATTTTCAACCTCCTAAGAACTTAAATTAGGCAAAACTCTTTTTTATTGTTATCGAAAGCATTGATAATCAACAAATAATAGAATATTTATTTCATTTATTGGAAACATTAATACAAAAGTAAGGTAATATAATTTCAGTTTTTATTTTACATAAAAATATGAAGGCTTCCGCTGGTACTCTGAGTAACTTTCAAAACTGCATCGTAAAACGTTAAAATTGTTGCCAGTTAAAAGGTTGAAGAAATTTGATTCTCAGAATCTGATGAAGGTTGATTGATTAAAAAAGTTGTTGCCAGTTAAAAGGCTGAAGAAATCTGATTTACGAGCTAATGATGAACTTTAGATGGTTTGGGATAAATAAAAATATAAGAAGGATCTGAAAGTTCAGCAGCAATAGTAGTCAATCAAATTGATCTTCTTTGAATCTATTAGTTAAAAAATCAAAATTTTCCAAAGTTCTTTCATTTTTTCTTCCCATTAAAAATGCTCTGCACTTGATCTTTGAAAAGCTAGCCACATTTATGAAGAATTTGCCCATTTCTTGTCAGTGAAGTTTGCTATTATAGGAAACTAAGAACAAAATGAAATTTTGCATTAAAGATATAAATCTCCTTTAAATCAAAAATAAAATAAAGAGAGATGCCTAATAAATCTTGCAATCTTATATTAATCACTACTGCTATTTCGACTATTCTGCCAGTTTACATTAGTGTTTAAACTGTTCTATTCAATTACTAGTAACGTTGTATGAGATCTATAAGGTATTTTAAAGCTAATAATTGATCTTATAAGCTACAAGAAATTATGATGATAAGCGATGCAGTAATTTTTATATTAATAATCTTATTGGGCTTTCTTACACTACACAAACAACAACAAGAACATATTTTTACTTCCGTACATTCTCAAGTTCTTATTACCACCAAGTAAATATAAATTTAACAAGACTGTTTCCTTTCCAATCTTCACTGGATATATTTTTCGTGATAGTGACCTGTGCGGGAGTTGTATCATATTTCACTGTTTAAATACCTCTTTTATATCAAACACATATTTATATCTCACTAGTTAGTTAATGTAGCATAAAAAACAATGCAGTAAATTTCGTAGCAAATTTTTGACGATCCGAAATTGTATCTTCATAAGTAGGCAATTTTTTTCTTCTAGATGGTAATAAATTCTGGGAAACAAGCCATAAATCGAAATCAGTCAGTGTGGAAATTGCAGGATACTATGTCCTCGCTCTTCTGGAAGTAAATGAACAAAATAGTATTCCTACATCTCTACCAGTTGTGAAATGGATTGCTCAACAAAGGAACTCCAATGGAGGATTCGTGTCCACTCAAGTGAGTAACGTGAATAAACTACAAAAGAATATCTTCTACTAAATTCAAAAATACTTAAAACTTTACACTGGCGTATGGTACAATTTTTATATCAATTTTTTAATCAATCCGTAATTTTTCTTCATTAAACTTAGCGAAGATTTCTCTGAATACTTTACAAATGATAACACATGGATTGTATCCAAAATGATTGAAAAGAGTGCTTTCGAAATCATTATTCATTTTTTTATTTATTTATATATTAAATTTTGTTTGTTCGCGCTGACAATATTATACTTCAGAAACTTATTTTATGCTTGAAAACGAAATTTCTTATGCTAATTTTTAAAGACTGAGAGCTAGTTTTTAAAAGTTACACGAGTTCTCCGTTCTCTCTTCCATGCGCATTCCGTGATTATGGTTTATTGCTTTTGCTAACAATTTCCAACATTACTCTAAAATTTCCTTACTTCCTATTTTCTACAACAGTTCATGCTAGATAAAGTAGAGAAAGTGAACGTATTCTATTGTTATTGTTCTATTTTTGTGTAAATATTTTGAATTATAACTCTTCATAGCAAGGAAGTAATACACTGGATCTGACAAATATTCAAGTGTCCGAAGAAAGGTTGTCTTTTTGGTTGAGTCTACATTTAACCATTGACATACATTATTAGAGGTAAAACTATTCGCAGATACTGCTGATCTCAGACTTATAAACTACGCTTCTCGGCAAAACCAGTGACGGAACTTGGTGACACCAGTACTTTTCCATCATCTTTGATGGTTAGACAGTTATAGTACTATATTTCCTGTAGTGTTAGAATCCGCTTCACGCTTTGGTTTGACAAAGAATGCAAAGGAGTAATATTGGGTATAATGTACAAGAATTCGGTATTGTTATGGGGTGCACTGTGCATTTGCGTTAACATGGGAGCTATGTAACAGTGCAAAGATCCAGTGCATGTGCTATCAGAATGTCCAGACTTGTCTTAATCTTTGTTTAGAGTGCATTTTAGTTGCTCATTTTGGAAAAGAACAGATAGGAGCGACGGTTTGTGATGCATAGTCCCATTTGTTTTGCCATTTTGTTTTAGCCAAACTGTTGACGACTTGTTTGAGGTACAGTATGGTAGGAGCTGATGTTGGGAATCCGCTTCGATGCTGCGAGCTGCCTCCTTTGCAAGCGTTATCTGCCGAAGCGCCCCAGGTTTCTGTGCTTATTACTGTTGATATAAAAATTGTGGACTATATTTAGAATAGCGTGTAGCACTAAGAGTCTGTCGCTGTATAAACTGATGTTGTAGTGTCTATTGCTTATTCTAACGTGTATTTTCATTGTTAATGGATGGAATTTGCTATTTTTGGATGAAAGGTTGTGATTTCTGTGAGTTTATAAGGTATTTTCTCTGTATGCCTTCGTGGTGTAACAGTAGCACACTCATCGCGTATTCGAGAGGACCAGGTTCGAGTCTCTGCGAGGGCATTATTCAATTTTTATGTCTCTTGGCTTCAGAATAACCTAATGACTCTACAGTGGGGCCCACTAAAAGGTGTTGGATTCTCTCTCCTTTCTGCATGTTTTCGTGATGCAACGGTATCACACTCGGCGCGTATTCGACAGGTCTCGGTGAGGGTATTGCTCATATATCCTGCTTCAGAATAGCCTAATGACTCGACAAGTGGAATTCTTGTTTATTGGTGTACTTAACAAAGGCGCGGTCATTTCCATTACCTTGCCCTGATCCATCTGTGTAGAACTTAAACTTCCTGTTGGATGAAGTACACTGTTACTGCAAATCTTTATTTATATTGCAGATTTCTCTGACAGCTGGATGGATGTGCAGCTTTGTACACATGAGGGCGAAACCATGTATTCTGGAACTGCGTTTGCGTAATTGTAGAACAGCCCATAGCGCAGCTGTTAATTCTATCTCTATATGCAATGAGTTCAGCTAGGATATTTTCTGACTCTTTAGAAGTTTTGTTAAAAGCACGTGAAATATTGATGGCAGACGGTTTTGGGATGCTAAGAAGATACTTTACTTTGCATTGGTTTGCACAGACTTATGATTTTGAACTCTTATGATTTTTTTCGACCACTGTTGTTATGCGAAATTTCTGTAGTTGTGGTTTCAATCCTCACTTGGTATCTTGTATCTGTCAAAGTTTGTACGTAGTTCTTAGTTTACGATTCTTGTGGTCCATTATATGCTGTATCCAGGTAGGACCTGGAACCCATGTTAGTCCGACATATTAGAGTGTGCTGCTGATTTTAATTCTACGTGCCTTCATTTCTTATCTAGGCTTATTTCTTAGTTTGGTAACTTTTCTAGGAATTATGAACGCTATGTATTTTGTCTTGGAAATGTGAAGCTTAATTTTACTTCAGCGATCATAGGAGAGCCCACTTATTTTGCTACAATGCTCTTTAATTTAGCCGCTTGTGCTCCCTCTTACAGGCCTACCAGCACCCACTCGTTAAAGTTGCTGAGAACTGTAGTTCGTTTCGGATGGCTGCATGAGCGTTTTCGGGGTTTTCCTCATGTGCAAAGTGTTCACGAGCCAGTTCCCCTTAAAAGTCCTCCACGAAGGCATTCCTCCCCTGAAGTACATAGCCCTCGAGTGCTTTGCCATAGTTAAATAAACCTAAACCTCCCTCTCATTTTGCCATATTATCAGTGTAGGCAATAACTGAGGTGTGGCCAGGCTTGTTAGAAAGTTAGATTCCGCAAGATAAGTCCAGTATATGAATTTTGTGGAAACTTCTATCTTGCATTCTACTGAAGGGGCCAGTGTCGTGTATTAACTGACTATTGTTCGTGGCTCAAGTAATTTTCGAAGGTGAAATAGATGTTGCTGGGCCATTTTTGTGTATCGCAGTGCATACAGAATAGCAGAGGAACAGAAATAAAACTTTATTTAAAAATGATTCAGTATATTTTGTACATGTGGTGCATAATTCACCTATGATGAAAATAGAGACCTCACACCTTGACGTCATAGATTTACCAAACTATTGATCAAATCTTGCAGATATCTATATCATTCTTTTGAGAACGCTTTTTTCAAATTTTTAAGGGTTCGGGGAGGAATTAAATCCCGTGCAGTTTGGCGATATAAGACATCTCATTAATGCTTTACCGAGATCCAATCTGGTGAGTAAAATAGCTAATCTATTCTAGGGATATCTTCTGCTTTCGAATATTCTGATACTAGAGATTCTTGAAGACGCTGGCCATTGGCAAAACCTCCAGGCCAAGAGCACCCCTAAGCAGCCTTACATGATATTACAAAACACCATCCATATGAATGTGACGAGTTGTAGAATCAAAAATATGCAGCATGGCGTGGCCTTATTTTTGATATCCCCAAATCATGAAACAGCTTTTATAAAAACGGGATGTTAATAGCAAAGCAAGCCAACTTATATGAATACAGTTCAGACTATATTTAGACTCGTCAGTACGGTCCCATTTCTCTTGACTCCTTTAAGCATAACAACAATCTCACCTTAAGAAGGTCCCTATGGAAGAAGAAGTGAGTGGAACACAAACTACTGGCTTTTTCGCATTAAGTGTAGCTTTCTGCAACCTTCGTACGAAAATTGAATTTTGGCTGGCTCGAGTTTCTGTAGCAACTTGAAGCTCTAAAAGTAGCTGACTCTTGTAGTCAAAGCTTGCAGTATTGCAGTCTAAAGCTGACTCTTGTAGTCAATCACTTCAGAGTTTCTTCGAGGTGGCATGGTGACAATAAAGGTCTTTGGATATAGTTACTACTCTTGGCTGCCCAGGCTGTTAGCTAACTGATTCACTGCTTAAAATACAGTCTCAGATTTTTTGACGTAGCGCTTTGGGGGTACATTCAGATCTCGAGAGAGCTCCATTACGTTTTGCTCTTTCAATTAATTGCAACTTTTACCCTTCTTACGGATATGCATATCACTTACCTGCGAGGTCTTTTTTCAGATTATGAAGGAATTGGGGAGGAATTTAAACCTATGCAGTTTGGCCGCATAAGGAATCTCATTAATGCTCTATCAGATTCCAATCTGGTGAGTAAAATAGCTAATTTATTAGAGTTACAACTTCTGCTTCCGAGTATTCTTATACTAGAGACTATTGAAGTCGCCGGACAGTGGCAAAACCTTTGGGCTAAGAGCACCTCTAAGCAGCCTTGCATGATATTAAAAATCATTGTTCATATGAGTGTGACGAGGTCTAGAATCAAAAATATGCAGCTCGGCTTAGCCGTTTTCTTTGATATTCTAAATGATCCTTTTGAGTCATAACTACTCGTAATTAATGCTGATCACTCTCAGAAAGCACATTAAATTCAAACAATTCTAAACACTAATTCTGGTAAACGTTTATTACCGGATACCTCTTCATATTTTTGATGATTTTTTGACTCCAAGTAAGACTCTAAGAAGCAGTGTTTGTAAGACGGTTATCGTCCAAACCAATGCCAAAACATATGTTAAAGAAGTAACAACAATAATAAATTAGCACCTATAGTATAATAAGAACTCACCTCATTTGCTCTTGGCTACGTTTGAAGGTTAGTGTCGGGTGACTGGGACACGTACAATTCTTTTATGTAATTCATGTAATCGCGGAATAGATCCTCCCTTCTTCCTCCCGGTACAGGTGACACTAATAAATTCCTCAAAGTAAGAATCGAAAATGTGATCCAATGACTGCCGAAGATCCCGCTTCCGAGGCTCCAGCTTAATATGGCTCGGCTCCACACACCCTCAGTGGTGCTAATATGGGAGCCAGTTTCGGAGTCTGTATATATCACGGAGTGATTCACTGGTAAATACTGGAAGCCTTGATTACCGAAGCAATCATAGGCCTTCCAGCAATCTGAGGTAATCGTGATTTCAGGTAAAAATTTTCGAGAAATCATGTCTAACAAAGACTCATCAATCTCCACAATCATATCAGAACTGCCAATTATTTAACTCTGCTTAGTCAAAATATATATCACTTCATATTACGATAATTTTATTTACTATACCGATCACAATAAATAAAATAAAATTTTTAAAAATCCTCATCTTAAGACTAAAGTTTCCCGTGATATTTTAAATATTCGGAATTTCATAGTATAACAGTTGCAAAAAACTATTTTACGAAAGAAATCATTTTTTCTTCTCCCAATCTTCTTTTGCATTGTTATTTGCACATAATTAAGTCTAATAGATAATAAAGTTTGCAAGCGGCAGTGGGTGCACTAGACAAACATATGACCTGAAATAGTGCAAAAGCGGTTTCAGGAAAAGCAAAGTTTTCAGTGCAAAAGCGGTTTGAAGCCCAAATTCGTTCAGAAAGATGCCTGATTTCTGCAAAGCCATAGAACAAGAATGTATGTCTCTGAAATATGTAATAAATCACCAATTAAAAAAATATATGTATTTTCATATCAATATTTCAAGCGATTTTCTTCCGAACAGGACACAATAGTTGCCTTACAAGCTCTGGCGAAATATTCCGCCTTAACATCTCAAATATCTGTGGATATAGGTTTGGTCATACAAAGCGATGAACTGGTCCGAGGCTTCAAACTGGATGAAAATAACAGGCTAGTGTCTCAGAGAGCCAAACTCCCGGTCTTACCAACTGTTGCTGAAATACAAGCTGTAGGAAATGGATGTGCTCTAGTGCAGGTAAGTTGATACTATTTCTGATGGGAATAAATTATGTCTTATTATTTAATCTCGCTCTATGAATTTTAAAATCTGAATTAAATAACACACTTTCTTAGTAAGATGGCTAACAAAACTATTTTTTTCTCTTTTTATTATTACCCTTTTATGTGTCAATTTTATTTATTAAATATCATGTTACTGTCACTTACACCACATAAAATTCAATTTAACAGCAAAATAACAAACTATTTAAAATCAACATATTTTGAGAATTCGCGATAGAGTGTTAGGGGCTGAAATACATACTTTTATATTGGCTGTATTATTTCTTTAAAAACTAGATGCTTGTGCATCCGGCCACCTAAAATAAACTTCTGGCCATTAAAACTGCAATACCAGGAATGAATAATCTGACGAACGTCAAAATCACATGAAAGGAAGAAGTTGTTGTTGTAGTTTTTTTCTTGTATTACATGGAACAATGGTTTCCAGAGCCTACTCCGAAGAGAGGGATATGCAAAGTTGTTGGGATATGCAAATGATTAGTATTTCAGCTCATTTAGACCACGAAGGAGGGAGAAATGACATCTGAAATACTGCATAAACGAAAAGTTATGTAGTGGATTTCTCATTCGGAAAGTGCTTTAAGATTGGATTTTGCTCAGAATATCGTGTTATACCTCGAATAAAAAGAGGAAATACTCACCAACGAGTTTCGAAATTCGAGAGAGGCGGTATCAATGCCTTTCGAAAGTGTAGTTTATCGCTCTGTAATATTGCCGGTCGCACTGGTCGACATTCAACTACTGTTATACGAATATGGAACCAATGGATTGCTGAGGGTCATACTGAACGGCATGCAAGATCTCAGCGCCCTCCCATGACTAATGTCAGATAGGACAGAGTTATTATATTATTAGGTCAGCAGTGCAAAACTGCACGACACCTCACGAAAAGTCTGAAAATGGACATGTTTGCAGTACGCCCAGTATCAGCTCGTAAGTTGCGTCGACTATCAGAAGGGCTTACTTTGGCTTCAGTAGGGTCATTACTTTGGCTTCCCTTGACAATGCAGCATAGAAAGAGGCAATGACTCTGGTGCACCGGACGACAAATCTAGGTACAGGAGTGGCGCAATGTCACCTTTTCAAATAAATCCCGGTTCTACATGCAGTATTCTGATGGCCGTATACGTGTCTGGAGTCTAGTTCGGATCGATGGGTACATTTTTGACATATTACGTCAAGTGCTTGTGCTCTATCTTTGAGGCCTCCAAACACCATGATGTTCCAACAAGAAAATGCCAGACCACATGCTGCACGTCGAGTTCTGACCTTCCTCGATACAAAGGTATTCGATTGTTGCCCTGGCCTGCTCGGTCTCCAGATCTGTCACCCACTGAAAACATCTGGCCATGGGTGGCTGAGAGACTGGCCCGCCACCCTCTCTCCAGCTAATACGGTTGATGAAGTGTGGCATAGACTTGAAGAAGCAGGAATGAGTTGCCCATTTCTATCGTCCAAGCCCAGTTTGACTCCATACCTAATGGGGTAAGGACGTTTTAGCTGCCAAGGGTGGCAACTGTTTCTACTAATTTCGCGCCCCTGTTAACCTCCAAAATGCTGACAAATTTAATAATTTTGTCTTGTCATACTGTTTATATGCAATTCTACCTCTGTAACCATAACCTTCAGTTGTCTCACGTTCTTACAATGTACTACATGTAGTCTAGCCCTTGTATGGCCATGTTAACTTTTAAAATCCTAATAAACTCCCGGGGCGGCCTCATGGGGCTCCAGGGAGTTGTTGCCTCTATACAGTGGAGGACGCGGGGTATATGCCTGTTTACCTATGTTAGACACCAGGCGCCCCCGTCCTCCGTCACCTGTCACCTGTTTATGTGCAATAAATGTATTTTTTGTATTTGCTTTCCTTCATGGTGTTGCAATTTCATCGGCCAGCAATGTAGGTATTATAAAAAAAAATAGTAGAAACAAATATTCTTAAGAACAGTTTATTGCATTTAAATCGCTTAGTTTATTACTCAGTAACTTTCTTGACATAGCTCTAAGCTCTAAATGTAATCAATTTCCGAAGGACACAGTACTAAGCTCTTTATTTATATTTATTTATTTTTAATTCCATCGACGGGATTCAACAGGCTGAAAAAGCTCGTTATTTTTATTTATTTATTTATTTATTTTTAATTCCATCAACGGGATCCAACAAGCTGTAAAGCACCTAACCCAGTGGGCCAGTTGTTCCGTCGATGGCGAAAAGAAAGTAACTTTCTTGATTAAATTGGAAAGTACCTTAGGCTTTATTGAATGGCAACACACTGGCGCGTGTAAGTAAAAATATTTTGTTTCCGAACGTGGCAACACAATGCTTTCATAAATCCAAAATTTTTAAAAAAATTTAAAAATAAACATCGTACATTTTTCCACATGCAACAGTCTCGCGCGCTTATGATCAAAAATCTATTCTGTACAGTGTTGCCACTGCTCGCTTTCAAATCGTTGAGTTTGTTAGTTAAATATTCATTAAAATTTTACAAAACATGAAATAAGTAATAAACGAAATTCAAAATGAGGACTTCCATGAGCACACGTTTGGGTGGATGTCTGCATTTTTCAAAATTTGCTGTCTTGAGGTACCAGCGTTATTTCCACAATGCAAGAAACATACGTATATACATACAACCATGCAAATTCTTCCTTATTTAATTTCTTTAAATTTAAAACAAAGCGATAATATTTGGTGGCAACAATTTGAAAAGTGATACGCCGTTTATAGTGAACCAAGGCAAAATCCCATTTTCGAGTATTATTATTACATTCGTGCTAAAAAATAACAACAAACGCTAAAAGGAAATATACGAATGTAAAAAGGTACCGTATATACCCGCGTATAAGTCGAGATATTTTTTGTACAAAAAAAGGCTTCAAAGTGGGGGGTCGACTTATACGCGGGGCCATAAAAAATTAAAAGAATCGGAAGTTCAAAAATTTCTTTATATAATGCAGTTGTTTTCTTCCCGCACTCTCAAATTGGACGACTTATCAAATAAGTCACTTTGTAGTAATTTCATGACTTAAATTATGTGACGAACTAATCACAGAGTTTCATACTTTAACTAGAGTAAGTTTCGATTAAACCAAAGAATTTTCGGGCCCCCGAACAACCGATCAATATCGAAGCAATAAAAAAGTTTCGCCAACACGCAACACGCCAAGAAAAGAGAAATGCAGATAGTTTTTACGTACGTATAAGTTTTTTATAATAGTTATTGTTTATTCAAAATTAAAAAAAATAGAATTCAAAAAATAATTCAAAATTAAAAAGTATAAATCATTTAAAATCATTTTTAAAATGTTGTATTAGCAACGAACTAACTAGACACAGCACGGAAGATGATGCTGTTTTTTTAAAAGTGAAAATGACAACGAAGGCTCTAGTAGTGATCGTAACAACAGAGTTCGAGACTGAAAATATGTATGATGACGAGCCAATGACGACAGAAGAGTTCTATGAAATGTTTGGAATGTTGGCGAATCTGACCATGAATCGGACGTTGAAGGATTTTTATTTTTGTTTATTTACCAAAGTATTTTTTATCGTATATTTACTTTTTTTTTCTCAGATGATTTTGAATAAATGTAGTACTTAAAAAAATTTTTTCGAAGTTTCTCGATCGATTTCGGAAGTGGGGGGGTCGACTTATACGCAGGTTTCTTATTTTCTACGAATTTTTTATGTCGAAGTGGGGGGAGGGTCGACTTATACGCGGTATCGACTTATACGCGGGTATATACGGTAATTAAAACATGCAATTTAAATATGAAGTACAGGCTGCATTACCGAATGCAAATAAACGATAATATTTGGTACAGCATGAGCAATGCATGAAATATGCAAAAATTACTTTGCAATATGTAAAATTAGCATGAAAGGCAATCCCGAAGTCAGACCACTACGCCTTATAAAAGGACATGCTAGACCTATGAGTCAGTTCTCAAACAGCGATAGTTGTATATAATCCTAGATAGCCAAAGCGGAAAGTATGAGCCGACTACACAATTTGCATGATGAAATGCGTGACATGTCGGAGTGTCGGAATGCTGCAAGCTGGTGCAAGATCGCTGTTGCGAGAGAGCTGAATGTGCATCACAGTGTCATCAACAGGCTGTGTAATCGTTATCAAACGGATCAAAACCCGTCTAGAAGACACAGGAGTATATATGGTCTGGAGTATAGAGTATATATGGTCTAGACTCCGAAAGATTGTCACAACGGCAGACAATCGATTTCCTGTTGTCATGTGCAAGACGCCGTAGAATACCAAGAGCATGACAGCTGACGTCGCATCTCTCGGCTGCTAAAGGAAAGTGAATATTCCACTAAACTGTGCCGCGTCTACTGCATGAAAGGAGAACTGTATGAAGATTTGTGTTCCTTTTTACCCATCCTGTGTCAAAGCGCGGCTGATTGGGCCGGTGAACTTAGCAGTTGGACACTAGAGCAGTGGGGCTACGTACTTTAAAACGATTCACGAAAGGCAATGACATGGCGAGAGCTAGGGGCACGCTATCGGGCACCAAACATCGTCGAAAGAGACCTTTAAAGAGAAGGCTTACTTGCATGGGCTGAAAGAGCAATGACCGGCCGCACTGATTTTGCATGATTCCTGGTAGTTCCGTCACATTCGTCCGATATCGCGACGAAATTCTACACCCTCTTGTGCGTCCTTTCATGTCTGCAATGGGTACCGACGCGGTATTTGTAGACGCTAACGCCCGCCTGTATACAAGTCGAGTGGTGCGGAGTTATATGAAGAATGAAACCATTCCATATCTGCTGTGGCCTGCTAGATCACCGGACCTGCATTCCATACAGTATATATGGGACATGTTGGGAGGACGGATAGGAGATCGTAGTTTGCCGCCAGGCACCTTCCGTGAGCTCCGACATTCATTTTTACAGCAGTGGGTGCTACTGCCGCAATAAGCCATCAACGACAGTCCTTTCTGCCTCGCTGTTACCAAGCATGCATTTCAGCTACAGGTATCATACCCGTTATTAGCGTGATGTTGCCATTGCACATTCTTTCGACTCATTTAGTCTTTCGCGAGGTAATGGTCGTAATACATGTGTTGTATGTCTCTCCTGTATTGTTTGCTGTGTGCTCTATTAATGCCACACAAACCTTTTTGATCGGTTTAACGCATATCCTTTAAAATGTTTTTGCTTTATTCTACGTTTTGGCATTTTTGCTTATTTTTCTAATAGAAGTGTATAATTATTTATTTACTGAATTTTCTTTTTCAGTTTTCCTTGAGATACAATGTAAAAAACTGTTCCGGGAGTGAAGCTTTTGATCTCGATGTTAAAGTTGTTCGTCAAGGAAGCAGTAGCGGTAATACACCCCGCGTATTGAAATTTGCATGAGGTGAACTTCTTTATTATGAAAGTTAAGTGAAAGTTTATTGCTGTAATCTTTATTGTTAATATGACTTAATATGTGTTTTTGCAGCACAAATATAATATTTTATTCACCATATTTTGGAATCAGGACAAGGATTATTTACACTATTTTCATAGGTATCTTGATTATATCACATTGATTTAGATATTTTTAACACTACATATTTAACTGATATAGCTTCATTCCGGATGGGAATACTATACATGCAATATAATATAAATTTATCATTTATTTTCTTTCTTTGAAGAAATCGTAGTCTGCAGAAAAATCTTACTTCTGTATAAAAAATATTTAAAAAAGTTGCATTTATGTTATTTCCTCCTCACTCTTACAAGACCGTGGTAATGTTTCTAAGCACTTCTTCATATCGTCATTCCCAAGCGGAAAAAAATCAAGTTATTTACTATGAGATTATGCATTATGAAATGTCTTTTATGGAACCTTCTGCATTTCAGTAGAAAAAAATCTGAGTTTTGAACATTGGATATTTTTTTTCACAAAGAATGATTCTGAAGTTTATATATATATATAATATATATATATTCTAATTCTAGGCACTTTCTGTATATTTACTATATATATATAATAAACGTAAACGCCTAAAGTTAATATCAAATTGGAATCAAAGCAAGGCAATCCCTCAACATATTAATATTTGCAACCGTGTATAAGAGGTTTAATACAATACCTAAAAAATCAAAATTAAAATAAGAATTCATAGTAGAACTCGAAAAATATAAATGTGAAAGAGAAGATATACAAAATTATAAAAATAAAAATTAATCTCCTTTTAATGAAACTCCAGAACTCATCAGAGGAAAATGAATTAAAGCTTCATAAAAGTCGATTAATATGTTTCGAAAATATTTTTCGTTCTCTTGGTTCATTTGAGATCAAAAAAGGTAAAATGATTCAAAATAATTTTCATTTCAGACATTAAAATTCATATAAAATCGAAACTTCGAATCTGAAATGTACCAGAATTTTTCCTACACACTTTCGAAACACATGGAGAAAAAAGAATAAAACATGCCAAATTGAACTACTCAAAAAAACCATTAAACTTAACATTATGCAAATTGACCATTCAAAAACACAAATAATTGGTCTAAAACCATTATATGCTATCCGAAATTCAAAAGCAATTACAAATAAAGAGCAAAATAAATATACATTAAACCAAATTGTCATTTAAAAAAACAAAACTCAAAAATTGGGTGGTCCCCGATTATGCTAAACTGAACTTTTAGTACTAAGAAAACGAAAAACTTTACATAGAGATTTCTATAAATAATAAAATCTAATCTGAGCCTTAAACATAGCGTGCTTCTTAAGTTTATTTTTAGATTAATTTATCAAGAAATTTTTATCAGCTGTTCTTCTAAGTACTTACTGCATTCTTGGAAACATTCACCTTTAAAGTTCAAGTAAAAATTGGAAATTTAGAAACTTCATTTGTGAGAAACAGCAACTTGGAAAGATTACGATCTTTAAGAATACTTTTTTCTGTCAATTGCGTCTTAAATCTAAGCCAGTTTTACATTATTTAAATGTTACTGCTTTGATACTAAGAACATTTTATAAACTGCATTCAGTAAAAAGAGAATTGTAAAATTACATTAAAATATAATGCATTATCATAAAATATTTTCAATTTTAGTAAAAATTATAACTTTAGCTAATTACATATGTTTGGTCTAATATAACAACCTCGGAGTTCTTATGTCTATGTCTATACCTAATTAATATGAGTTTTATGCAATTATATCCTTCATTTTCATCAATATTCCTAAAACTAAAATTGTTTGAATTAATTTTATCATAAGCTCGATCAGCCATAGACTTCTGATCCATATCTTCATTTAAAAGGACAGTAGTTAATATTTTTTTTAATATTTAGGACAGTATTTTTTTGGTACTGAGTTAATTTTTTAAACGATTGCTGTAAAATGGTAGATCGAATCGGGTTCAATACCTGCATTGGACGTTTTGAGGTTTTCCCATGTATAACATACTACTATATACGATTCAGTTTTTCCTTATTAAATGATCACATGCCTTCCCTTCTGCAGATAATCGTAGCATTGCTTTGTCTTAATCTCAAGTATCCAAATCCAAAACAATGAAGATTTTTGTCTCTACATAGGTACAAGGCTACTGACGAAACGTCGAATATGGTCGTAGTTGCAGTAAAAATGGCATCAGGTTTCGTTCCAAGTGAATGGAGTCTTGATGTGGTAAGCTAAGTTTTGGGGACTGAATTCAAGGGTATATATGTAAAATTTGATTATTCTAAATGACTTTTTTAACTCTTCATAATTTTAATCAAATTGCATAGAGCTTTTGAAAAAAAAGGTCCATGTTATCTAACTTTTGAGTAGTTCTAAGAGACACATGGTTTCAATTTAAGAAATGAATCAAACCCTACGTTTATAAATTTTATTTTCTCCTTCTTAGGGCCAATTGTTTCTGTAGAGTAATTTCTATTTTAATCTTTAGCGGAATTACTAATCGAAATATTCTTAGAAAGCCCTTAAATTTTAATTTCGTACACTTTTACGAAAAGGTATAACTTGAATTAAACTGTCGTATCTAGAAACCCATTTATTTTACTTGATTCACTTTTTAAACTGTGATTAATAAAGAAGCTACCTTGGTCTGATATCAAAAGTCCAAGAGAATTATAGTCATGCAATCTTTCTAAAATATATACTTTATTAAAAAGAAAAAGCAATTTTTTTTTCTGTTAATCATATTAAATGTAAAGATATCATCTTTATAGAAAGTTATGTTTATTTTACAGTTGCAGTCAGACCAAACGATACGATTGAAACGTTATGAAGTGCAAGGCAATCTTGTTAATCTTTACTTTAATGAAGTAGGTATACATGTTTTTTCCTTTTCATTTGAGACGACTTTTGTGACTGGATAACAAAAATAAGTTTTGGAACAGCTTTTTTTCTATCTCAGTCTCCTGTTATATATACGCAAGATAAAAAAAAGTACGCACAGGATAATAAGACTCTAAAATATTATCAAAGTTTATATTTTGCAGTTATTTAAATAATTATTTTGGTTAAAAATCAAAAATCGAAATATTCTCAGAAAATCGAAATTCAAATCGAAATAATCTTAGATAAAGATCGAAATATTCTAAGATAAAAATATTTAAATCAAAATTAGAACTTAAATTAGCATTTGTTTTTAATTCTTCATTTTAATTTGGGTACTTCCCCTCACTATTATAAAAATAGTAATAACTCTTTATGAACTAAGTCCTTTCTAGATTAATCCTACGGTATGACTTTTATATAATGATGTGATGTTTTTTATATATATATATATATATATATACTTGAATTTTGTAAATAAATTGAGAACAGTCCTTGTTGTTGACACATTTATTTGAATTTTGTAAATAAACTGAGAACACTAAGACAGGGCTCATTCTGCACAAGTGAACTCTTGGCAGGGATTTACAAAATAGATAATATCCTGTCGACTAGATGATATATTGTAGAAGCTGTAGATTTCGTAGATGTCGATTCATAATAAACTTGAAATCGAAGCAGATTAAATATTCATTTTAATTTCAACTGACATTTGCGTCGTGCCTATTTCCAGTGCCAATCGTGCCATGTTGTTGCGACAGGGAGAAACGAGCGCGGCAACGGAGGTAGAAGCAGAGTGAGTAGTTATCCAGTATTGAAGTTTATTAAGAAAAATCTTTTGGTTCAGAAAATTTAAGTTCCGAATTAGTTACTTCATCTCCGTTATGTAGGTCATATGATATGGATTAATCTAGAAATGACACAATCCAGAAAAAGTTATTTAGCAATTGCTACTTTTAGAATGGAGAAGATAAAACCCAAATTGAAATGAAGAATTAAGTGACATTGCTAATTTAAGTTGTAATTTTGATTAACACATTTTTTATCTTGCACACACACGCAGATGCACATATATATATATAATTTGACCATAAGCAGTTTATCGTGCGAAAGTTTTCTTTTTGTTTATTGTTGTCAAATATTTATTGATGTATGAATGGCACGTAAACTATGTTCAAATTCAATGGAATCCAATTTCAGAGAAGCCAAAATTAATCCCCATCCATTATAATATTTACAAAAGATGTAGATTTATTTATTACATGTTTCGCTTTTGATTAATGCTTTTCTAACTAGATATTAGTAGAATTTTAAATCTTTTGGAAGATGTGCAAGGAACCACAGTCTGTATTTTAAATTCCGATAGTTTACCTAAATGATTAGTGGGAAATATTGTAATACTTTGTAAAAGTGTATAAGTTTTCATAGCAGTTTGAAACTGGGATTTTGTTCAAGAATTTTCTTTTCTGATTTAATAGCAGATAGCACTGAAAAAAATCATTTGCAGCTTAGGGAGCTGTTCACCAATGCCTTTCTCATCGCAGTATGTTCTGGATGGGGAATGTAGAAGCTCTATGCGAGACAATTATACTGAGATTTGATTATACACTACCCATATGAATTTATTCTTGATCGATTCAATATCCAGATGTGCAAGGAAAAAAACAGCACTGTGAAAATTAACTCAGCATAGTGTTTGTATTGAGACTACTCGATTTATGCATTGTTTGTAAATAATGCAGAGACTCTTTTGATTTCTGCTGCATTTACAAACAATGCATAAATTAACTAAGTTATATAAAATGTGAATGCTAATAGATAATTTGACACCCAAACAAATTGTTTGATAGTCTACAAGTATGCTTTTTAGCGAATAAGATAAGAACATGAGAAATTGTGTAAGCTACCTTGTACGTATTTCAGAATGTACGCTTTATAAGTTTTTTTTTTTTTTTTTTTTTTTTGAATATTTTGGATGATTCAAAAGTCAGTCTACTTTAAAACATGAATAGGATCCAGTTTTCCTTATAAATACCTCTGTAAAGAAATCCTTCCCCGTTAGCCAGGTAACCCTCATTTGCTTTGCCATGGTTAAGTGTCAGCATACCAGCCAGCAGCTGAAAGGTAAGTGATTAGAATCCTGGCGAAGATGACGTTGATTTTTCATGGTTCATGAAAACAATGGCTTATAATCTTTGCAATTTAAGGAACTCAGTTAAATATAATCAGATGTTAAAAAGTGCATAAAAACAAGTAATAAATATGTAAAAATTACACGTGTATAAAGCATTCAAAACATTGGAAATAGGATAATATGGAATTATACAAATCTTGCGTAGTTAAAAATACTTTGAAATGAATTTATTAATTCAGTTTTTCTTCAAATGATCGATTTCAATTTTTTACAGCTTACAAATAAACTTAAATGCTTCAGCTTTAATATAAAGAATGAAATTGATGTTCAAGATGTAAAACCTGCAACTGTGAAGTTGTACGACTATTATCAACCTGGTGAGTTTAATACCTTTAAATATCTAATTCGCATAAATTTGTTTAAATATTTTTCTACCTTAAACTCATATAAAATTGATAAGAATGTTTTAAAAAAGCTTACAGAATGACGGATTAAAATAACGAAAATATAAATGCATTCATTAAAATACATTAGCTAATATAAGTACATACGTTGACCACAAACTAAAAGTAGCAAAAAAGCAGTATTCATTTAAATTATCCGATGCTTAGAGAAAAGTCGGATAAATTATTTGAAATTTAAAATATTGAAGGCATTAAGAATTTCAGCTAATTTATTGAAAATTTCTGAGAGGTTTAAATGATAAAAATAATCGAAATTAAAAACATTTATTTAGCAGAACTTAAATGCCTGTTGTTAATTCTATGTTAAAAGTTCTTGAAAGAATTCTACCAGTAAAGTTATTAATAGTACATTTACTTTCTGTATAAAATAATTATACAGTGAGTAAAATTATCGCTTTATTACCACAATATTTGAAATGGCAGAAGTAAATAATAAACGACGGAAATAGACGGTATGACATTTGGTATTTTTAATGTATCTTTCAAATTTTGTTAATTTTATATTTCTTAAAACGACAAGAGAACTTTCAGAATTCTAGAGTGGCAATAAGGTGATTAATAATGTAGCTGCTGGTTTTAACTGCGATATCATTGATATTTATACTTATTTTTCAGTGCAACAAAAGTAGTTCCAAATTTCATAGAGAGATAAGATGAAAAATATGAAACTATTTCTGATTAAATATAATACAAACTATTTTAAAAGAAGCTTATTTTTTTATAAATATTTCCCCATATTATTAAGTTAGCATGTAACTGTGTAGTGGAATTGTGGATTAACGCAATTTATGTCCCTGGCAGGACATGGTCTGTACATGTGGAAAACGTCATCGCTTTCACTTGAGTATTAGTGCACAGTGCAAATACAGGAATTCAAAAGATCGAAAGTAGAATATTCAGTTAGATAATGGATAGGAGGGGATTTCCCAGTTCAGTAATTTTAATTCAGATCTCTCGAGCCACATACTGTCTTGAATTGTCTTGGAAAGAACTAGACTGTATCATATCATGACTGCTTCTGTAGAACATCAAGTAACCTAGCAAGAATTTGAGAGCACCATTGGTCGCGGGCGTATCTCCAAAAAGTTATCGGCAGGACAGGTTAATTTTTCATAATGCTCTATTTAATTTTTAAGAAATAATTACGCTACAATTACGAGAATTAATTACTACGCATGACTCTCAACACAGCATCGAATTAAAAAGATGAATTCTTGTTTCATATGAACACGAAACGATTTTACCAGATGGTGAACAGATAGACCGAGTTGCCGAAACTTGATTGTCATGCTAAATATGCATAGTGGTGTTTGCTGTACGCTCTCTAAGTTTCAGTTCTGTACCAGTCAGTGTACGACGAACGAGAAGCTGCAAAATCCAACGTCACACGGCATATTAAACCAATTTCTCTACAGAATTCAGAGTTTGACCACGGAAATACGTAAATCAATAATCTATTTAAATTTTCTCATATTCTTAAAGAATGTGGTGTCGACACACTTGGATAAATTCGTCTTAGAATTTATGTTTAAATGCTACGTTTTATCCGAATTCGTTTTTGAGTTACCTTACGTCTTCTCTTATGCACATCTAAAATCAAAATTTATAAAGTACTAGCGGGCTGCGGCTAAAGCAAAATTTATAAGTTCTATATACACCTGAAAAGAAAATAAACAAAAATTTCAATATGAATTAAATCAGTTCATTCCTTCCAAACAAAGACCAATTTGTAAATATTTTTTGTTGCCAAATCAAGAAACAAAAATTCTTGATACTTCAAGTTAATGCATATATTTATGACGTATTGATTTACATTTAATGCAAAATAATAACTTTTTCTCAACATCAATAAAAGAATTAACATGGCAATAACATATCGTGTCGATTATCCTAACCTGAAACAAAAAAGTTGCCAGCAGCAACTATTTATTTAAAATACTGACATTAACGAAAAGTTTTCAACACACAATGACGCCACATGCAATCACGCGTGCTTTCTTCTGCGTCAGAATATGACATTGTAGAGTAGTTGGTAATTTTTGATATTGGAGACGTGAAAAATGCGCAGTGCCCTCGCCGGGACTCAAACCTGAACCTCTCTAAAACGCGCCGAGTGTGCTAACCGTTATACCACGAAGGCATGCATAAAGGAGGGAGAAAATACCTTATATATTCCCTTTTTAAAGGGTGACTAGGGATGAGGGAACCCATTCGCCAAATCTTGGTGGTGAAAAATCATTATCCACTTATCCACCACATTTTATTTCGGACGCCACCTAAAGACATTAGGTTATTTTTATGCGGGAGCAGTGTCCTCGCCGAGACTCGAACCTAGACCTATCGAATACGCACCGAATGTGCCAACCGTTACACCACGAAGGCATGCAGAAAGGAGGGAGGAAATAAGATAATAATAATATGTTTGATGTTTGGCAATGTTACTTATATTTCAACTTTTGTAAAACTTAACAAAATTTTCAAACAAACTCTACGATTTGAAAAAGAGCAGTGGCAACACTTTTCGAAATAAAGCAGATTTTTATCTCCAGCGTGCGCTACTGTTGCCATTCGGAAAATGAGGGCGAAAAATTAGCGTTTTCAGAGCTTTTAATTAATATTTCGGCTGATTAAAGTCCTACGAAAATGAGAATGGTCAAAATGGCTTCTTATGAAATTTTGGAAATCCGGGAATACCTCTCTCGAAACTCAACTCTCCGCCGTTCTGCTGGAGATGATGCCTCAAACAAACAAATAGATAGACGCTCACAGATTTTAGTAGTACAGATTCCGTTCCGTTGAAAAATCACACTGTTAACTCTGAAAAGGCAGAAATTTTCCGACAATCAAATTAATGTGTTCTTTGATATCTCGATTATGTAAGTGATGAATAATAACCGGAATATGCAATGTTCGCATCTCATTTTACTGAAGTATATTATTTTTATCACTTGAATTTATTTTCCTTTTGAAACACTATTCCTAAATTTAGATAGTTTATAGCAAATTTAATATTATAAATAAATGATTGAATACTAATCTAAATTTAGCTTAAACTGTTACAGACTGAATGCAGCTGAGATCTGCTATACGTTATTCGATGATATCCTTTTAGAATTATATACAGATAATTTCCAGTTTATTTAATAACACTTATGGCTTTGAGCCATAATTCTAATGGTTTGGAGATCCGCCCATTTTAAATCTACCACGTTAGGGTTTCCAAATACTATTTATGCAGAAGAGAAATGTTATTTATTCAATATTTTGATTTTGATTGTTTCTTAAAGCTGCTACTAAAGATATTATAGAAAGACCTTAGTTAGCCCAAATAGGTTCAAAAATAAAGATCGTATCAAAAAATACTAGTAATATTGATATCATTATGATCTCGTCGGCAAAAGCTTAGCAGTGATGGTACTAGGCAGGTGAGTACTAAGTATTTGAGGCAGGTGATGACAGTGGTATCACAGTATCATTCCAAATTGAAAAGTGTACAGATTAATTTAGCATTTTAGATTCATTGTTTTATTTCAGAAAGAAACGAATTACATTGGACTAAGTAATTAAGAATTTTCCTAAGTAACGTATGATCAATTATACAAAAACGTACTGTAGGTTTTAAACATTTAACTTAATAAATAATACTATACATACTAGTTCAATAGGTTTTTCTGTTTATTTCCATAAGAATTCAAAATACGTTTTCGTGTTTTCTGAATTTCGTGTAATGGAATATTTCGTTCAATTTTAAATGTGTTTATAATGGGAAAGAATATTGTCTTGTATAATCCTTTCACGTTATCTAAGAAGGTTTCATTTAAACACTGACCACTCAATTTAATAAACGATTTCTAGCAATGAAGTCTCTTAAATATTCAAATATTAGTACAGCATCGTCTTGAGCTCTTTTAAACTTTAATTTATGCTCTTTTAAAGGCATTACATTTACTGCTAATTTTAAAAGAAGCTAACTAATGTAGTTTAAAGTACACTTTTTACTAGCAAGGTACTATATATCAATCAAGACATGTTAATCTACTTATGTCTGATAGGATTAAGAATAATAAATTGAATTTCACCATTCTAAAGGTTATTTACACATTCTTCATTTTAGAACTTGAAGTGACAAAGGAATACGTTATCCCTCCTGATTGTGTCGCTCCTAATTTACCAGAATTGCCAGAACTATTGACAAGCACTCTTGCGGAAGAACTCTTGCCTACATTCGACGATGAGCTCTTATCTACACTGGGTAGTACTTCTCTTCCTGATGAACCTGATACTGGTATCACAAATGTTTTCAGTAATTCTACGGTCATACCACATATCATTCAGATTGTAGACAAAAGCGCCCATGCAGAAGAGTTATCTGATGATGCAAAGCATCAAAGCGCCCATGCAGAAGAATTATCTGATGATGCTAGCTCTTTTCAGACAATAGAAAATGCTAATCACCTTGCCAACTTTGTAGATTTAACAGATGATCCGGATTTTCCAGATGGTATTGAGGGAAATTTACCTATTTCGATACTACCTCCAATCCAGAGTATTTCGGAACTAAACGGTAATACATGATTTGCATTGCAAAATAAAATTTTTCTTAACCTATTCATTTTTGTGCTATAATCACGTTTATTAAAAAATAAATAATTCTGAAAGTATTTGGCTGATTTTTAATACAAACACTATATATAATGAAATAAAAAAATTTATTGCAAATTATTCTTAAGAATATGAGGTTTCTTGTGCTACTATCATTCTAGCATATTATATGAAGCTGTTTTCTTAATGTTTTTAAAGATTGTTTTGTGCGTTATTGAAAAATAAATTACATAATTAAAAATAAAAAGTGTATTTGACTGTATGACTATATAATTTTTAATTAAAGGAAGAATTTCAGTAAGAAAAATATTCATTAGTGTGGTCTTGAAGAAAGTACTTAAATAGCAAATTATAGTATAATTATTAAATCTCATTTTCTAAAATGTTAAGCTTTAATGTTCAAATACATTACTTTATTTTCAAACAGAGATAGAATTTTCATTTAGAATTAAATACAATTCATAGTGAAAAGCACGAAGTTTGAAAAACTTTTCTTTTAATAAAGGTAATAAAAGCGCTGTGAAGCAATTTAGGTAGTTTAGATAAAAACTGATCGGTAAGATTAATAACAATTTAATGTTTTCACATTAAGAATTTTTTTAATGTTTTCACATTAATAATTAAGAATTTTAGCTTTACTTTTGCTTTCGTCATCTCCTACCAAAATTAAATTAATTAAAGTATAAATAAGCCCAACGTTCTTAAGTTTAAAGAGAGAGGCTTTTGGTAGTGTTTGCTGATAGTCACAGTGCTTCACTTACCAACTGGTTGACCTTAATCTATCGGCTTAAACTTCGGCTAGCGGCTTTCGCTTCATAAATATTTAGGGCCGAGCCAAGTTTAATAAGCCTCGTTGAATTTATATTTTGGGTTCAATTTGAATTTGAAAGTATGCTTTGAATTACTCGCAAGCAGCGGCATTTTATTTCTGTTATGCAACCGTCAGGTTGACGTGTTAATGAACAGTTTTTATTTTAAACCTATACTTTAAGTAATAATACGTTTTGTTAGAAGGCAGACAGAACAATACGTCGCCTGACAGTTTGTACTGTTCTACAAGTGTTTCCACTTTAAAGTATTGAACAACCATTTAATTTGTCTGAGATAGTAATTTTTATTCAGCTATTGTATATAACTTGTATTTTGAGTACACGTACTAAATTATTTTATTATGTAGGATATTTCTGTATATTAATTTAATCAAATCTTATAAGTTTACACAATTATAACTAAGATTGCACTATTAACTAAGATTAATAGATTACTGTGTATTTTTAGATGAAACAGCTGTTTTGGATTGTCCTGTTTGCATGAATAAATTTCCTGCGAATTTCACAGATATATATTGCACCTCAGCATTTGGTAAGATTTTATCTGATTACCAAAAGTTTACATAATTTGTGAAGCAGCCTCGTTAATAAAATAATAATAAGATAATGGCCATTAAATTATTAAAAAAGCTTTCTCCAAGGTAACAAAAATTTAATACAGCATTTTAAAATATTTTTTAATTTATTCTATTCCATTATCATTCAATAACATGCCATAGAGAGGCAGTAAAAGGAAGTATATCTGTAAATATCACATCGTAAGAGTTTAAGAAAATGTTTAAGAATAATAATAGTTTAAGAAAGCGTCAAGATTCGAATTGTTGAGAAAAACTGCAAATACACTCGCGCTCAAAAATAAGCGACAAACGATAAAAGAAAAGAGAAGAATATAAAAAGGGGAATTAAATAATTTACATATGAGGTAGTGTTTGTATCACCAAATGCAAATAAGCAACCAAAATTAGCATAAAACGCAATCCCGCTATCACACCATAACGCCTTAAAAAGGGGCATACCAAGCCTATGCGTCAGTTCGCAAGCAGTGATAGTTCTGTATAATTCGAGATAGCCAAAGAGCATAAGCTGAAGACACCGTTTACACGATAAAATGGGAATGCCATCACAGAAGAGGAGGCTTACTTGTATGGGCTGGTACAGCAACGAATGGTCGCACGGACCTCTGCGTGATTCCTGCAAGTTCCGTCATAGTCATCCAATACCGCGACGAAATTTACACCCTCTTGCGCGTCCTTTATCGCTGCAATGGGTACCGATGCGGTATTCATGGACAATGACGCTCGCCCGCACAGAACTCGAGTGGTGCAAAATTATTTGAAAAGTGAAACCATTCCTTATCTGCTGTGGCCTACCAAATCACCGGACCTGAATCCCATAGAGCATGTGCGGGACATGTCGGGACAACGAATAGCAGATGCTACTCCAGGCACCCGCCACGTGCTCCGACATGCATTACTACAGGCATGGGCGCTACTGCCACAACAAGCGATTAGCGACACTATTGCAACTTGCCTCGCCGCTGTCAAGCATGCATTTCCGCTAGAGGGTATCATACCCGTTATTAGTGTGATGTTTCCAATGCACATGCTTCCGACCCATTTGGTCTTTCGCGATGTGATGATCCTAATACATGTATTTTTGGATGTCTTTCGTTTATTATTTACTATGTGGTCTAGTAATGCCACACCAACCTCTTGAATGAATTTGACCCCCCATATCCATTAAATAGTTTTTGTTTTATTCCGTGTTTTCCCTTTGTTGCTATTTTTTGAGCAGCAGTGTAGAAATAATTTGATTTAAAAATTTAAAACAAAATTTTGCCTTTAATAATATAGAAATAAATTTTAATTCAGTTACTGGATCTCCTTCATCAACATTCTTTTTTCAAAGTGCAAGGTGCGGTGATCTTTAAGCCACCGGATAAAAAAACAATCTAAGTAAATAGATTTTTTTTTATGAAAAACAAATACGTATTTACTGAAAACACGTATTTATTGAATTTACTGCAAATGAGGAAATTCTGCTTTTTTTTTTTTTTTTTTTTTTCTTCCCTGTTTTATTTCATTCACAATTTATAAGCCAGGGAGAATGTACAGTTTATCCATAAGAATGAGAAATCTCTGCATAAAACAATGCAACAGTCATCAAAAGCCTAATATCTTAATAATAATCAAAAGGCTAATAAAGGAAATTTACTATAATTACTCTGTAATGAAAAAAATTTCAAGTACAGGAAATAGATACAACATATATCACATAATGTTTTAGTCTGAAATTAGAAATATGTACTTTTTATTACTAAATAGTGTTTGTTCACTGTTACACAAACTGAGTTAAGAAAGATCACTAGCTTACATACATTTCATATTTTTTTGTTACCTTTCACAAGATTTTGCTTTTTTATTTATGCTTATGAGTCACATTATATGTGAAGACATGTTAACTTGACATATCATCACGTATAGTGTGACTTTTGCCAAATGATATGCGGTGATATTTTATTCGTTTTTATGACGTGTTTATGTAAATGCACATATTTTTGCTATAACATATTATTGATATGTTAAAATATTTTAATGAAAACCTACATACTAATTTTCTACCTCTAACACAAGAACACCTCTCGATAAAAAGTTTATAGTTTGCTATTGCCATAGAAACGAACTCTAACCCGTTTCGTCGTAAAAGGGTTGTGAAAAAATGTATTCAAATTTGCCATCTTAGCGCACTAACTAATGAACTGGCGATATACTTGTACTTGTTATAATACTTGTTATAATAATGTTTGGCTCTTTTCTCGTCGAACATTCGCTAAAAGCAATATGACAGTAAAATTATGATCTGGTCATATTTGAAATGTGTAACGTAAGTTACTATAAGAACCGTCTCCAATTAGACCTGTTGATGAAGTTTAGTGCTGTGATAGACAGCACTATTTACAGTGGTGTTATATGTTCTTGAATGCGTCTTTGCGTTGCTTGAATGTTCTATATATGTTCTTGAATTAAATTAGATGAATGTATAATACGTTTATTCCAATATCATGTTTTTATGGTAAGCCGATAAATATGTCATATACATTCATCTACATTAATGCAAAGCCAACCAAATGTTTTCACAGAAGAATTTTGAAGACTAGGGAAAAAGGTAATCAAAGGATTTCTATCGTGATCACCTTAAAGAATGTGACTACTAGTGATATTCAGCGTTTATTTTACATTCTCTGATATACTGTTTACTTTTAGAAGTGATTACCGTAAGATGTTCCTCTGCATTTTTTTCTGAAATATTATTTATTATATATTTATTTCTGAAATGCTGCGTTGCTGCAACTGTTCCCAACAAATAGCTAAAAATTAAAGTTACAGATTTGAAAGAAACTCGAGTGTTCCATAAGGAAAACTCGAATGTTTCTCCTTTCATTCCACTCAATTTCGGTTTTATACTCAGTTGGTTGCATAATTTTTCAGTATTTTACATTTTTTATATAGAATTTCATTGATTAATTTATTATCATATAATTATCCTTCGTCAAAATATCTTCTTTTAGGAAAGTTTTCTCCGCGTGTTTGCATTCTAAATGTTTTTAAAAGATGATCTATTGAATACTCTTCCAGATGATTTAATTTTTACGATATATTTCCAGGTATGAAATGCAGCTAAAGTAAAATAAATAAATAAAAAATTTGAAAGCTTTCAAATTTTATATTACGCCCAAAGGGCGTTTTTTTTTTTTTTTTTTTTTTTTTTTTTTTTTTTCCATGAGAGATTCAAGATGGGATTTTAAAAGTGATACAGACATTCAAAGTCATTCGACTCCATTGAACACTCCATTGAACAGATATCCATTGAATACTCTATTGAACAGATATCTAGATTCCATAGGAAGAAAAAAGGCAGAGTTACTGTGGATTGCCCAGATGTTGAAACGAATAACAAATATATGGGGGGACGTAGATTTGTTGGATAGCCACGTAGGAAGATACAAAATAACTCTGAGATAAAGAAAGTGATATATGATACTTTTTTACCACTTCTTAAAACTTGCGGTTATAAATGCATGGTTGCTGTACAAAAAAGTGTCTCTACACAATGGAGCCAACCCCAAGGATTTGCTAAACCTGGCCGCCTTTTGGGTTGAGCTATCCGTTGGACTGTACGAAATGGGTGAACGTTCGCTTCCTAAGCGTGGAAGGCCTAGCGGTCTTTCACAAAATGATTACAATGTGAAAAGGTCCTGCATCAAACATTCCTCCAACTTGCGTCCGACAGGATAAAATTCAACATGTTCTCATATAGAACAAAAAATCGTACTTGTTGTAAAAGGAAAAACTGCAAATTACAAATATTTATTGGATGTGAAAAATTCACTGTAGCATCATGTCTAAATAAGGATAGAAATTGTTTCAAAGTTTTCATACAACATAAACTGCACAATAAATGTACATGTACAAAATATTTCATATGTCATTTTTATTTAAATTTTCATTGCAATTTTAATTTTTATAAAGTCTGAACATGATTAATTAGAATTACGTTTCAATAAAATTTTAACTAAAGTCATTATCTTCTAAAAACAATAGATAATTAAATATTTTATGCCAATATTTATTAATTATATAATTGTTAATAATTTTTTATGTGGTTTACATTTTAGAACTAAATGCATGACGATCCATATATGCATCAAACCTAAAATTTTAAAAAAGAGAACAATAAAAATGTTAAATCATTTTTTTAATATTTTTCAATAATTATTTAAACCATGACCATAATGAAAAAAAAAAATGTTTGATAAAATATAAAAAATCATGCATTGAAGGGTTAAGGGCTTGAAAAAGGCCCATGTCAGGGAGTCTCCCTCTCTCGTGTACTGTATATATCACTAAATACAGTCCGGGTAAGTTTTCTGCTATATTAGAATTTCACTCTCTTTTACTGCAGTTCGTAATTTCAGCATATTAGCATAACATTATAAGTAAACGCGAGAGAAAATTCTCAATAATGATTATTTCAACAGATCAAAAAAAAAATGTCTGAAGCAAATTAAAGAATGCTCATAAGAAGTCAACATCACAATATATATCTGCAACAAATACACAGATTCATACATTTGGTTTGTGATTACTTCTCTTATTTACGGTAAAATCTTAAGGTTCTGTAGATAATGGATTATCCCAATATTCTTTACAAAGCATTTCACAGTATTGAAAGAAAATTCTTCTTAATTAAATCATCTGCATTATCTTAAGACCAAACCATTTCTCACGTTAAAATTCTTAGGAATTTTTTGTCTCAGTGGATTATATTTACTCCTCTAAGTTACGATATTTTGTTTCTTCTGGAACTTGAGGTGTCTTCTAGCACATTTTGTAATTTTACACTGTAGACCAGCGGTTCTCAACTTTTCGACTAATGCGCACCATCTAAACAAAAATAGAAAAACTTTAGTACCACCACTACAATTTATAATGATTATTTTTCAATTTCTCAATAGAAAAATCAAAAACGTATATATATATATTGCCATTTTCACAACCTATTCGCTATTTGAATTAAATATGCACACATTAAAAAAATATTATACTAAAAAATGGGTTACCATTTTAATTATCAAAATTTAAGTTATAATTCTAAAATCGAGTGTGAAATTGAGGTTTGTTTAAAAGAGGTCAATTTCTTTATGTCTGGTCTTAATTCCACTTACCGTAAATTAGAATGCACTTTTAATTTCGTTTTTCAACTGTAATATGGAAGAAAATCTTTGTTCACACAAATAGATTGTGCAAAAAAGCAATACAAATTTGATAGCTTTATTTGAAATGCCTTTAAATTCTTTCTTTTCGGTTCAGCCAAAAATTAACAAGCGTGTTATTTTTGAAAACTTCACTTAGAGTTCCATCACAGGAAATTTCCATCAATTTTTTTTTTTTTCTTCAGGAGATTTTTTTAATTTAATTGTTAAAAATACTTTTTTTTGGGGGGGGTACCACCAGTGATAAGCGTACCACCGGTTGAGAACCTCTGCTATAGACCCTTTTGAAAAGACTAAGTATCGAATTCTCGCTAGGTCTTAGAAGAACAGATGATTTCAGACGAAGGTTTAAATAACCTTTTTATTTGAACTCAACAGGAACGCAGTCACTCGGTGCTCACAATTTACCACCACTTATAGCTAAGTAGCTTGAATAGAAAATAAAATAGACAGTCACAATAAAAGTAAAGATTAGCTATACGACTATCTCCTACTTTATCTAAACCGCTAAATAGGCTGCACACAACAAAGCCGAGCCGCTAATATCAATATACTTGTATTCTAAAGAGAGTGGCTAAGCACCAACTACTTCAAACACGGAGTCGGAACTCTCATAATGGACTCAACATAAACTCGGAACTAACTCTCCTACTACGAACTTTTGAAGCGCTGCTTGAATACTGATTCCGAATTCACAGTTTTGCATATCACGTCATTAAAATTTATATTCTGGCAGGAAACTGAAATCAGAAGGGAAAGGAAAGTTTCTACATGTAAAAATAATTGGTTAGAATAAAAAAAGGTCTTTACAAACTTTGTTTTAAATTAAGCATGTTCGTTTAATAAGCAGCAGTCAATTTCGGTGCAAGGACCGATAAATAGCTTGCTTTTCACAATAATAAACAAATTGCTATTATATAATAAACTAATCTGCAATGGTATGGTATTCAAATTTTTCCTTGTATCATGTCATCTTTTCTTTGCTTTAGCTTTAAAGTTATTTCCTCAAAGAAGGAAATAAAAATGGTCCTTAGCTAGAATTACTCTAGTATTTCAAAAATTACCAGTAATACTTTAGCATTTGAGAAATAATCCATTGCTTCACCTTTACACTGAAATTTAATTTCAGTCTTTAATTTTTGTCTCATAATTCTTTCGATAATTTCTTCTGATAGGAAGACATAAAATTTCTTGGTTTTGGCTGACGTTATGTCCTGAACACAAGAAATCAATTCTGAACATACCTACATTTTTTTACAATCTGTATTTAAGAAATGAATCATATGGGTACATCGTTAGATACAGGTCTTCTTTCTACTGAATGTGTTGAAATCGTTACACATAGTTCTTCTTTCTACTGAATACTGTGAATATTTTCTACTGAATACTGTAAATACTTTCTACTGAATATCTTATTACTTTCTTCCACTGTCTACTTCTTACTCTTCCTACTGTGTTGAAATCGTTAGATATTGTTCTTCTTTCTACTGTATGATACAAATATGACGGAAAATGATTTTTTACCCAAACCTTTACTGTGAATGGAAAGGTTGAAGGTGTCACCCTTCAACGTACTCCCCTCCAGAGCCGACACATTTTTGCCAGCGGTTTGGAAGCATTTTCTTACAGATATTCAGTTGACTTAGAATCCACTCTTTAACACTGATAAACTGACAATGAACGCATCGTTATCCACAAACTGTTAGCCTTCTAAGTGTAATTTAAGTCTGGGATTTCAAATTGAAGTAGTGGACCCATGTTTTATTGACAGTCATTTGGGACTTCCAAAATGCATCCCCTTCATCTTCAGACCACAGTAAGAGAGAATTGACGGTTTCCATGCGCATCACTTTACTCTCGTCTTTCAATGTATGTGGAATCCATCGGGCATACACCTTGCCGACATTGCAAATATTTTTTACAATGATTTTCACACTACCAGCACTGAAAGCGTCGACGCAAGTTCTCTGACAGTGTTGAGTCTATTCCCACGAAATTGCATTCACACCATCGGTTTTATTGAAAAGACGAATTTTCTCGACGCGTTCTCGTCACTCAGGGAAACAATGACACCATTTAAGTCACTCAGTGGTCCTGGAAAGCCACTCTTCCTAATTATTATATGTTTCTGAAGGACGTTCTTGCAAGACAAAACAAGTGTATTTTGAATATATGATTTTAGATATGATGCATGTGGTAAAAAGCTTAAAAAATATCTGAAAATCAGAAACGAAATAGAATTTTAGAAAACATATCATTATAAAGTATATGTCATCCATTTACATGCAGAAACTGTAAATATCATCTCCATAAGAAATAGTATAATGAACAATAATTATCCGTATAGTAATAATCTGAGGTTTTAATTTCTCTTAGTTCTTTTTATTTATTCCTTTCTTTTATTTTGATATTTTTACTTCTGCTTCTTATTTTTTAGCTTTAAGAGCAAATGTTAGATCTGGAAATGCAAAAGTGGTGAAAATATTGCAAGACGTTAGTTACTATTTGCAACAACCACAACCAGTTAAAAAATTTGCAGAAGTTAAATGGGACGAGAGGTGTTCTTGTCGACAGTTAACTGGAGGTAAGTGGTTTTCTCTGCTGACGAAATTTTACTTCATTTCCTTGGTTATATGAAATACTTTAATGCTTTTTCATTTATCTCCTGATTCTTTAAGATATGAAACAGAACTTCTTTAAAAATTGCATAAATGGATTCCACGATGCACTGTAAAGTGCAACGAAAGTCCCATAGTGTTATGAATTTGTAACAGTAACACGAAATATGAACTTCGAAACTTTTTTTTGATTCCCAAAATGATATTAATAAATGTAGAAACAATTTTTTTCAGGAATACACTGTGATTTTGACTTTTGATTAAATTTTTCAGCTTGAAAATATGCAATTACTTTGGTTCACGAACTTAAATTAGTTCCTGAATTGTAATTCATCATCCGAAATATTCGTAAGCCGAAAGCTTTTTTCTTGAAGGAAATAATGTAAACATGATCCGAAATATTCGTAAGCCAAAATCTTTTTTCCATAGGAATTCATGTAAAATGAATTAATCCGCTCTCGGATCCCAAATTATTGCTTAAAAAATAATAACTTTGTAACAGAAAACCAATAAAAACCCGTATATTAACACCTACACAATATTTAAAACAATACTAAAATGTAAAAAAATAAGAAATTTCAGTTCAATTTTGCCGTATCTTCAATAAAGAAAGTTGGGGTGTAAGTAGAAAATCATGCAAATGTTTAAAAGGGAAATCCTATTGTGTAAAAATACCAGGTAGTTGCTGTCTTTCTGTTTTTTTTTTTTTTTTTTTTTTTTTTTTTTTTTTTTTTCCCTCTCTTTTTTTCCCTTCCCTGTTCTCTTTCTCTTAACATCATTCGCTTCTACTTAAAACTCGCTGAGCCTCTGTTCCATTAAAAATTTGTCCACAGTGATTTGTTTTTGTCTATGCTTTAAAAATGTCTAAAGCAAGACATGGCATTATCATTGCAAACATTTGTATTACGCTTACTACCGCTTTATCAGAGGGATAATATTCTATGCATTTTGCCCCTTACCCCATTTTGCACAAATTTCGTGGAACAAATAACTAGGAGACATCTTCCTTTCCAGCTTCTTCTTAAGATATCTCCTCCACAGCGTTAACTATATTTTGAAGTATCCTTTATCGTCGGCTTATTTGTCCGCATCTAGAGATTTCCTTCGTAATCCAGGAGACTTTTCTTTTGGAAAATTTATTTGTGATCCAAGACGTTCGTGAAGCACGTTTCCTCTGTATTTAGATTATTACAAAGCCCGCAAGGTCTAACTACTTAAAAAAAGGAAATTTTGTTGAGGACTTTTTAAGGGAAATTAACTCGTACACTTGTTAAAGATCAGAAAGAAAAAAACGGAAACTTCCGTGCAGACAGTGCATTCGCCAGGGCTTGATTCCGGGTTGAATTATCAGCATTTCTGCTCGACTGCTGGTAGACCACTTTATTTGTTTGAAGTACTAAGAGAAATTTTAATTTTATTTTAGAAGATTATGTCTACTATCCTCTACGTATCATGCTATTACGTTATGATACGTACTTAAATAAGCTCACAAACTCTCTCTCTCTATATATATATATATGAATGCACTAAACACGTGTTGATTGAGTCTATGCACTCCAGAAAACGTTCATAGCATATAAAATTCTAATCTGTGAAATAATGGAATACTACTGTGTATAACTGTGTGTAACTATGAAATCTATTAGTTTAATGCACTTTAGATTTCGCAGTCTATATAGAGTAGTATACATTAGTTTATATACAATAGTTATATTAGTTTATACGCAATAGTTATATTAGTTTATATACAGTAGATTTTTCTTATATAGACTATGTAGTTTTGTGCAAAGACGGATGGGGCAAATCTGCCCTACGCGGCAGCTTGCATGAGTGTTGGTACTTTCTTTCAAGTTGGCCATTCTTTCGCCCAAGCGATGCCCGGCTACCTTTTCAAGTTCATTTTATATTAAGAAGAATCCAACTTTCATTAAGGTGCCACGGTGCCCATACGGCCTTACTGAATAGTCGCCGACTGGCATAAAGGTGCCGGAAGCGTTATGAAATCGTCAAGGTTCTGGAACATAAAAACCGCTTTTTATGCTGCAAAATAAAGAATTAGTTCCATCAATTACGAATTTAGGACAAGCTAACGATGATGGGATTAAAACGTTGTGTTTAAGAACGTTTTACGATTAGTTTATCTTTTGAAATTTTTTATATCCTTTATTTTATTTTTAATGTGATCAAATCATTTTCTTCCAATGATTTTACTGTTATTGTTGCATGAGCCTCACTTATCTATGCATTACTTTTACATCTATTTTAACTTTTAAAAATGAAAAGGAACTTTGCTTACTCTGTAGAAACATTAGATATTTTTGGAAGCAGGCAAGATGAAAAATTAGCAACGCCTTCGCCGGAAATCGAACCGCGGACCTCTGGAATACGCGCCCAGCGTCCAGACCACCACACCACGGAGACATGCCAAGAAGGCGGGAGAAATATCTTATAACTGTAATGATAAAATATTAAAGATATAATAAGTTTTTTAAGACGTAAATTCGTTACGTTTTCAAATTGCGTCTTACGTATGTCTAACGTAACGTCTTGCGTAATTACGTATACGTCTTACGTAATTAAAATGCACATGTTACCTTTCCTCCAACGAAATGCTGCTTAAATTCATGTAATTTACTCATAATCCAACAAAATTCTCGTGATCATTAACATCTGTAATCTTTTTAATGTGTTATCCCTTTGCTATTGATGATGAAACATTAAATATTCAGCTGAACTAATTTTAGCAAACAAAATTCGAGTGTCAAAATGCAAGGCATCATAATAAACTTCATGATGAAAAGGTAAAATAAGTATTGTACATAATTTGTAACTTCTAGCCGACTTTTTATCACATAACATCTTTACAATTATTCTTTGAGAAGCTGAGATATATACATTAAACTTTCGTTAGAAAAGGCTTATTCTGACTTCCTACTTTTTTAACTCTATAAGCTGCGTTTTTCTATAATTCTTTCATATTTCTTTTGTGTTTTATCTGTAATATATTACGTAGGGTATAGAAATGAGTTATGTAATTCAGATTAGTTTATAATACTACATTTGAATTAGGGGAAAAACAATAACAGAAGCTAGAATTATGTTTAGAAGTTTACAATTGTCTTTTACGCGACTGGTTTTCAGTTAGTACCAATTTATTCATGTTTCTTTCCAGGGGAAAATACGATAATAATAACAGGAACACCAATTACATTATGGAGCTCAGAAAAAAAGAAACATCAAATTCATCTCACTTCACAAGCACATGTTATATCATCTGCTGGGAAAACAGTACAACCAAAAGAACTCAAGGAAGCTCGGAAATCTTGCGAAGGAGATCCCTAGCCTTCAGTCAGATGATACTCATTGTATTTTATATATATATACATTAATAAACTTAGCACAATTGTACATATCATTAATATTTTAAGTTACTCTTAAAATGCGAGAATGTGTCTGAAATCTTATTTTCTGTGACTCTAAATTTATCAAATAAAAAGACCAAATAAATACAGAAATTTGAGTACAGATTAATTATTCATTATTGAATAGAAACTGGAATTTTGACGAACGTAAATACTATATAAATTAGAATGGGAGAGGATGCGAGTATACTTTTAATTTAATGGATAAGTTTTAAGCAAACGCATGCTCGTAATTTTTTTAACTGTGCATCAAATCGAACTATGGATAAACTAGAAATATATTTATATTAAACTTTTCTCATTTACTGAAGGTGAAGCCAGATGTAGCATAATTATGATGAAATATTATTATAATTTAGAAACTCTACTAATAAAAAGCTCCGCTCTCAACTACAGTAAATCCTTGTCAAACGGAAATCTGCGGAACGCAATTTCCCACATACGCGTTGTTTTCGTTTAATTTGTCCAACCTAGAATTTCATTCATAAGCGGTTTAACGTTCATCCATCAACAATAAATGCTTCCTGGCATCCGCTGCAGCCAGAAGTTGACAACAATTTCAAAGGATTTTCCATCGACGGAAAATAAAGCCAGAAATACTGTAAAAATTTCGAAAGCAATTGACGCCGAAGGAGTTTCAGATATGGAACACGGAGAAGTCAAAGAATTCATCAAGAGATGGCAAATGAAGAAATGGATGATCTTATAACACCAGCAGGCTGTCAAAGCAGTGATAATGAAGAAGACGAAAAATGAATTATAAAATATTTGATGTGGACACTATATGACTTCCTTGTACGACCTATTAAATTATACACATTTTTTGCTGTAATTCGTTTAAAATTATGTTCAAAAAACTATAACTAAATTTCTTCAAGGTTCAAAAATTCTAAATTTAGAAATAAAGTTTCACTTACCCTTTTTTCTTCCAACAGTTAAAAATCCGGGGTGAGCTTAATAGGTAGAAAATCATCAAGCAGTACTTGAAGCTTTCATTCTTTGGTTCTGTTGCCTATTATCCAATACGCAGTTCTGAATAAACGTGAACAATTCACAGATTTTACTCCAGTTTTTAATTTAAATGCATTATTTACGAGTTTAATAACTATATGACAGTCACAAAAAACATTATGTAAATAAATAAAACAGGTATAATTGCCTATTTTTTGTAAAAAAACACTTTTACTTCACATAATTCTTAAGTGTCAAACACGAAAACAAATGTAGCTATCAAAACGCAACATATCTACACAATAGCACAGACGATACAAAAAGAATTACAGCCGATGTCAAATGTCTCCTTTTTTAAATAGAACTACTCTTGCCAATGTTAATGCACAGAAATGCCTATTCTTTTTGGGGGGTAGGGGTAGGGGTGTGTCTTTTTCTTTGAAGACCATTTTCGACAGCCTATTTTCTGGAATTTCATTAGAGATATATTTCTCATTCAAGAAATTCAGTTCTCACTTTCAGGCAAAAATGCATAAAAAGCAAAAATATCTTCGTTAAAAACTGTAAAATACAAAAAACTAAAACGCCAATTAGAATTAAAAGCAGTTAAAGAAAAACAGTTTTTGCAATTATATTTTCTATGGCAGAACAAGCAATTCGTCCAAAGGGCAGAAAGACAAAGCTTTCGGTGCACAAACATTTAAAGTTAACTTCTAGTCGCACTGAGCAAACGGAAACTGATGCAGAAACTGACTTAATTCACTATTCTACTAAGAGCCTCATATATAAACAAATAGCCGCTACATCAGGACTACTTAAACTTTTCAATTGTTGATAATTCCAAAATTATTGCACGCAGATTAATTAAAGGCATAGAAACATTAACCAGAACATAAAAACAACATAATTCAATTAAAGCAAAACATGGATAGCTTGCCAACATATAAGAATAAAAAACTGAATTCACCAAGCCGGGTAACAGGGATTGGGGGGGGGGAGAATTGGATTCTAATACTTCAAAAAAAACAAAACTACTGCATTATTTGAAGAAGCAAAACTAGATGAATAAGTTCAAATTCATATGATAAACGCCATACAATCTCGTGCTTAACAGCGACGACTAAAAGAAAAGGAAAATCTGGTCTCAACAAATGAGTTAAATTCTGAAATCGAAGTTAACGACAAAGACGCATTGATTGAAAATGAAAGTTGAAAATATGAACGTTCAGAATTAGATCTGATAAAGGCCTCTCCAGAAATATTTATACAAGAACAAAAGGAAAGCGTCGAATTGAAGCCGATTTATGAAGAAGCTAAAGTAAAATCTTCTAAGAGTACGAGGTATATGTTGAAAGGCCAAATGCTCTTTTTCAAAACGGAAGATCGTGATGGAACACAAAGACTATTGATTGTTGTTCCTGAAAAATATCGGAAACAGTTGATGACTATTTGTCAGGAAGGGGCAGCTCATCTTGTTGCAACAAAGACCAAAGATGTATTATTCAAAATTTTTATTGGCCAAATTGTTACAAAGATGTCGAGGAATTTTGTTAAAACTTGTGGAAAATGTCAAAGAATTGGAAAGCCGCAATATAAAAAGAAAGCACCTTTGAAAATTGTCCCTCTTATCACAGAAATATTTTCAAAAATAAATGTTGACTCTTGTGGGCGCCTGCCCGTGACACCTTCAGGAAATAAGTATCTCATAACTGCAATCTGCATGTCTTCAAAATATCCGGATGCAGTTCCTGTCGCAAATCTTTGTTCAACCACGATTGTTGATGTTTTCCTTCACATTTTTAGTCAAATGGGATTTCCAAAGGAGGTCCAAACCGACCAAGCTACATCTTTCACGAGTGCGCTGACATTGAATTTCCTAGAAAAATTCGGAATTAAAGTTGTACGAAGTTCTGTTTACCACCCACAAAGCAATCCTGTAGAGAGGATGCATAGAACTTTAAAAAAAATTCTTCGAGTCCTATGTTTAGAATCTGGTCCGAACTAAAATAAAATCTTACCTCAGGCTTTATTTGCTCTTCGAACGACAGTTCACGACAGTACCGCTTTCTCGCCCGCAGAATTAGTTCATGGCAGAAACTTAAGTACTCCAATTATGCTATTGTTCGAAAAATTATCTGGTAAATAAGAGGAAGAAAATACAGTAGTGGAGTTTATTTTTGAACTAAGGAATCGAATGAGGAAATGTCAAGAACTCGCTGTCCATCATATGAAAGAAGCCAAACAAAAGCAAAAACTCTGGTATGATCGCAAAGCAGTAGAACGTAAATTTCAAGATTAGTTTCAATTAGTTCTAGTTGTAGCTCCATCGAAGCCACACAAACTATAAAAAAACTTAAATGGGTAGGTCCTGGAAAAATAGTTCAACAATTATCAGAGACAAATTATTAGTCGAGTTTCCCGAGAAAAATAAACTCAGGTGTACCACATTAATATGCTGAAACCGTATTTTCAACAAGCAGAAAATATTAAACTTGCTATGTTTAGAAGTCAGGAAAACGGCTATGAAGATGAAATAAACCGAGTCTAAATTATAGCGCAGATATTGAAATGTCTGAAGTTTTGAAAGGCATTGAATCCTAATTACGGATTTCGTTTAATGTTTCCATATCCTATCCGAAAATATTTTTAACAAAGATCCACCAATAAACAGTATAATACATTAAAAAATATAAAAGGCGTGCAAAACATGTTTTAAGTAATCTCAACTATATACATAATATAAGGCGCGCAAAACATGTTTTAAGTAATCTCTTTCCACACGGCATGGCTGCCGGTCCAATCGCTAAAGTACCAAGTCTCGTATTCACGCCACCAGCCTGCCTCGATCGGTTTTTCCGAGGAATCTCGAATTCTTTTAATACGGTGTCTTTAATCATAATATTGTTATATCAATCCATTTCATCGAGAGTCGCGATCAAACTTTTAACTTTTGTTTTTAAACTCTGCAAAATAATTTTCCCTTCTTCAGATATTTTATAGAGATTAAGAATCACTTCATCATGATGTAAAAAGAACAGCCATTTCTCAGCTTTCGATGGTGGGTCAAACATAACTCCTTTCATTATTTTCAAATGTTTCAATAATCGTTTCCCTTGCTCTAAGAATCTCTAAGAATCTCCTATATCTTGATAAAAATAAGAACCTTAATTTCTCATTTCCATATAAAATATACTTTCTCGGTGTCTACTGGCTTTAACGCCTGACATTCGAATCATGTTATTAACAGACATAAAAACAATTATAATTTTCTAAGTTAATATGGTTAATATATAAATTAAGAAGGACTTACCTTTGATCCCGATAGTGAAAATATCGAACGAAGAGCACAACTTGACGCTGTTAACTTTAATCATGAGCACACTGCAGTGCCACGTAACTTGACATGATTACAACACGGTAATTCACATTATCCCTGATTTAACTTTTCATGATTTCACTAGGATGATGAACACTGATGATCCCATTTTACCACTCACTGGCTGTTAACTTTTTAGCACATCACGCTTTCACAAATCGGATGAATTTATTCGCACACATGGCCCTAAACGCGCCATTTTCTTTCGTCATAAAAATCTTCTCTCATCGTAGATCCATTCGTGAACTATCACCGAATTTCATTTTATAACTTTCAGTAACTTTTTACAACCATATTTATTTATTATTTTCACTATTTAGTGATTTCCTTTTTCACAATCTTATCCTATCGACTGCGCCGATTTGCACCTCGCGCCGTTTCAAGTCCGAGGCGGGTTCGGTCATTTCTCATGCACTCGCCATAATAGGAAAATAATCTCCATCAGCTTTGAAATTTTATCCACTAATTTATTAAACAATACACAATAAAACAAATACCACTACTATACATTTAGCTTAAGTTATCTCTTTGCACACGGCATGACTGCCGGTCCAACCGCAAAAGTCACAAGTCTCGTATTCTTCCCACCAGCTTGCCTCCACTCTGTTTTCCGGCGTAACTACGTCCCTTCCTTTAACCGTCTTTCGCCCCTCGCGGATAAAATGTTCTGGAAACGTCTTTCGCTAAGGGAAGGAAACATCACAATACCTAGCTGAATATACTGAAAAGAGCTTTTTTATCATTTTAAATTTTAGAGTATTTTACA